GGTGTGTGGCACTGATTACGATAGATATAAGTAGTATGTATCATCAATATAAAGTGAGATACCTAGCAGTAGAAGGTTAGGAATATCAAAGTAAAGAGAAGGACAACAAAGAGTGACTGGTATGGAAATGAAAAAAACAATGAAATCTGAGACGATTGACCGATATTTGCAAAAGGAGCAGTCGAGTTTCAGGCAAATGATTGACATTTTGCAAATGACGTCTTCGCTCTATGGTTCTCAATATTTTTAAAAATCCAAATACATTCGATTGTCCCCACTTTTCTTCTCATCCACTCCACCGAAAGCACTGGGTCGTCATTCTACTCTAGTATAGGACTTCACACTAGTGTACATTCACTACTCTACATCCGGTGTTGAATAGTAACTCAAATTTCGAACATTCCACAGTCTATACAAACATCACTACGCTAATAATAAGCATCTACTCACTAGTGACTTACTTCAAGATACAATTCCTAGAGTTCTAGTGAGAACACGTGACTACTGAAGTTCAATTCTTGTCGAATGTGAAAGAGTTATCCTCCACAGACACTGGATGATTATTAATTATAATAATTAACTAAAGTCAGACATGTACACAATTGGATGGCAACTCAGTGGTCTCAATTAAATAATTAACCGCAAGCTTTGGAAGTCTTGTGTTCGATTCCCTGTGACGCTGCTAAGGAAACACATTGATGAAGAGTTCCATATAAGAACAAAACGAGCGTCCAGTGTTTTTTTCATTTCTAGTGATGATCTAACTAAAATTATTCAAAAGGTGATTTTGTAGAGATTTTAGTAATTTTATAGTTGAAATCATGAGCCAATTGAAACTAGACCACCATGGAAAACCTGGAAGAACTGGACAACCGTTTTGTTCTATTATCGGACTCCTCAGTAGTGCATATCTACGATCCTTTCTCACTTGTTTCGAACCCAGGACCTATCAGTAATATAAAGCATACAAATTTAACAATCACTACAAAACCCCTGTCCTAATAATTTTATATTTAATGTCAATGTTAATGTATATATTTTCACTCTTTATCTTTTTTTAAAGTAAAAGGAACTGCCTGAAATGAAAATGTTAATTTCATATATCCGGTTGGCAGATAAACTAATGAAATGACCTGGAAAAATATTTTCCTTTTTGTTTTCTTTTTTTCATCAACTGAATACTACTACTACTACTACTACTACTACTACTACTACTGATACTACTACTACTGATACTACTACTAATAATAATAGTATGAACTATCGTGATAAAATTAATTAATAACATCTTATAATCTAAAGGACTCTTCTACTGAAACTCTGTGAACATAAAGAAAAATAAAAAAAGAGGAAAGTTGTTGTATCTGTGCCATATGAATAGATAATGTCATAACCAATATTATTCATATTAAATGGTATTGCATATATATAAATATATACCGATATGAAATTGAAAGAAATCACATGATTGGATAATTCTGCGCAATTTCTTAAAACTTTAATAACCAATAGAATTTAAGGAAATTATAATTGTAACATACATACAATTTATGTCTATAAATATATATATATTGAGAGAGAGAGAGAGAGAATTAGATATGAATGCCAACTTCTTTTTTTAAGTTAATTGATAATAACAGTCAAACGGGAAATTTCTTTTTAAATACAGTTTTTTGGCATAATTTCTTTTGTAGTAGTAGTAGTAGTAGTAGTAGTAGTAGTAGTAGTAGTAGTAGTAGTAGTAGTGTAGTGTAGTGTGGTCTACTTATATCCATTTAAGTAGTATATGGTGTTGGTCAGACATAGAATGTATTTTGGCAGTAGACCGATGAGGAAAGAACTGAAACAAAGAGCAATCTTTTGGAAAATGCATGAGCAATGGAATTAGAGAAGAAACAGTGAAGATTGAAACAATTGGTCGTTAATTTGCAAATTGACTGTTCATTGTTTGGTTATCAGAATTAACCGAGATAGTCTGTAATGTTTGCTTAAATACATTTGATTGTCCCCAACCAGTGTTCTGTTCACAACAGTAGTAGTAGTAGTAGTAGTAGTAGTAGTAGTAGCAGCAGTAGTAGCAGCAGTAGTATACAATCTAAGCTAAAATTAAGTAAACAGCTAACAAAAACGAGTAAATATAAGATAGTATACACAGTACGCACATATGGCCAATAATTGACTGACCATTTTTTGACATCAGTCAATATTAAACATACAATTATCAGCAAAGACGGAATCCAGGACGCTCGTTTCGCCCTATTTTGGACTCGTCAGCTGGATATACGTGTATTTAATAGTTAATATTTATTCTGGGACTCGAAGCCATTTTCCTTCTCTTCAAACACCATCAGGTTATCCACTCAGCTACTGAGTCCTGATAGCTAATATAATGGGTGTATTGTATAATGGGGTGAAGTTTAAATTCACTTGGTATTGCTTAGTTGAATCTAATGTTTAGAACTCTATAATGCTTATGAATTAAGGCTATATTGAGGCAATACGCACAGTGTGCACATATGGCCAATAATAGACTGATCAATTACAATCCTAAACATCAATCGGAAGATTCAAATAAACAATACTAAATGAATTTATAGAATTATCAGTTTAGACGGTTTGTCAGGATTGTTAATATATATATGAAAATTAACAATCTCTACAAACCTTCCATACTCTACTGATTGGAAATATTAGATGTAAAATTTTATTATTAACACACAATTATCATCTTGACTATTTGTAAATTAAATAGTTTCACCCATTCAGTGTGATTTAAGTTTGAAGCCAAATTTCCTATGAAATAATTTCATTTATATCTTTATCAATGTTTGATAATGATAAAAAGATGCCGAGTTGCATGAACAAATATGACTTTATACAAAGAAAATAAGCCATCGTAGATAATGAACTAACAAAATATATGCATCGATAATCTAATCAGTAATTGAATAATTACATCAGTTCATAATAATGGTAAAAGAGCACATTTTCAACTAACAAAGTTATGTACTTAAGACTATGATATGAATTCGATTAACCTTATCCCAGATCAAAGTGAAGATGATATAGAAAAATATTTTAATTTGTTGTGAATACAAGTTTTTTTCATAGTTGAAATCATGAGTCAATTGAAGCTAGACCACCATGGAAAACCTGGAAGCACTGCTTAACGGCCGTCTCTTCCTATTATGGGACTCCTTAGCAATGCACATCCACGATCCCGCACTCGCGAGATTTGAACGCAGTACCTACCACTCTCGCGTCAGAGCACTTAACTGATAGACCACTGAGCCGGCCGGCATCCAATGATGTTAATGTCTAAATTCCAGTAATCCACGATTTTGAGCAACCATTCACCAATCGTCTTCAGTGAGTTGATATCTCTACAACAGACTTGGTAGAATTCCACTGATCACTTCTTCCCACTAAAACTCAAGGAAATATCTCTTGAAGTCAGTCATTAGTGAACATAAGATTATAGATCAGATGGGGTTTTGTGGAGAATTTAGAATTTTTATAGTTGAAATCATAAGTCAATTGAAGCTAGACCACCATGGAAAACCTGGAAGTTTTGACAGTCGTTCTATGTTGTTAAAGAACTAGTCTGCTTTGACGCTTTCACTCTGTTGATTTCATCTTTGTTTTTATGTTACAAATTAAGTGTATTAGGTTAAGACAGAAAACGTAGCGTTTTCAGTGATGATCTTGAAGATATCTAGATACATTACAGATTATATTTACTGTTTAATTAATTAATAATGTGATGTAAAACGGGATTTAAAATGTATTTTCATCTTGGATGAAGTACCGAAGATAATTTACATGTTCAGTTAGAACTTTTCATCTGTACAAACTCTTGTTTGTAAATAGGATTTAGATCAATACTTTCAGATGTCGAACACGTTGGTATTTATGCACAATTTCATAAGATTAATTATTACTAAACGATCAGTTAAATATTAAATATCTTATTCCTACTGCAAGTCAGTCATAACATGGACAGCTTCCTGGAAGCTCTTCAAAATGTGAAACTGGATAGAGTGGGTAGGAATCCCAAAAAGAAGCAACAGTTCGCTTAAGACTGTAAATATTCATATATGGATAGTACAAACAAGAACGTAACTTGCGTTATACAGATTTTCCTACTGACCACTTTTAACCATGTAACATCTCAACATCTCAACAAGTGACGTCAAAACACTCAGGCAAGTTGACGAATTGCAGCTTGATTAAAAAAATGAGATGAAACCTTAAAAGTCTAGGCAAATAGTATTCAGTAATTGTAGATAAATCCATTATAAGTTAGTCAGTATCTCTAGGAACTGATCATCTAACCTTCATCTGTGGTAGAATAGAATTAAAAGGTGGTCTTTGCCTAAGTATGCTTTCAATGTATTAGTTCCAATTAAAATTTTTTTAGCTCTATCAAAGCTTCTAATTTATATTCTTTCATTTTTTCAGATTCGAAGAAGATTAAATTATGAGTAACTTCTGAGAACTATATTCTTATTGAATAACTGTTAAGTAACTAGATTCTATATACTTATATTTCCTTGCATTTGACCTACTGACTTCTATCATACGATTTACTATTCTTAAGTTATTCTCAATTTATTAGTTACAGTCTCCCACAATCTCAGCCACTTTTGGCTTGATCTTGTATAATTTTTATTTTAAATTTTGTGGTATTATGTGGTATGGTTTGCTTTTATATAGACCAAGTATGTCCGAAATATATGATTCATTTAGTGAGAGCTGAGATTTGTGTTCGGGATTCAAACGGATAGGGCTGGGTGAGAAGAACCAATAGGACTCATAATTGATTCTAGGCTATTCGTATTGGTTTACACATCATTGATTTAGCTTAATGTCACGGTCATATGAGTCGTGTTCTAATTGACGAGCTTATCACTTCATAAACTAACTGGGCAAAAGAAACAACACTCTATTCAGAAATATGAAACATTTGACATTAAAGTAACCAGGAATAAATGGCTTACTTGAGTTGCAATGTATGCCTTTTGTTTTCTATAACCATCAATATAATTAGCATTTATATAATCTGATCCTGAAACTATTCCATATTGTGCATTAGAATGATGTTGATAATTAGATTGAATGCTAACTCGTGTACAATCATATGCTAAAATATTTGGATAACGATTTTTCGATTTATTTATGTCTAAATTAGAATGTACTGCACTGATATATCGTGTTGATGAGATTTGTTCAATTGTTTGAAATTCCTGTTGAAAACTAATATAATTATTATTTCTTGATTGATAAATCACTTCTTGAAATTGTTCTACTGGTATAGGCATTCGATGTACTAAAAATGTAATAATATAATACAATAAGATCAGGAACATTTTTACGTATTTATTTATACTACTTACAAGTAGACAAAAAGTTAAAGACAAATATTTAGGAATTCATATTTCCCGCCATATTTGTAATTGGCCAACTGGATATGCTTGAGTTTCACCATAAAAAAGAACTTTTTTTCGAAACTGTTGATATCCAAGTAACCAATGCAAAGCGCTCATACAGTAGCTAAAACCTATTCTGATTCAATTCAGGATACTCAAAACGAGATAAACCTAAGCAATTCTAATAATGATAAAACAGTTATAGTAGTTGAACGGATTACTGGCTCTCCAGTCTGGGTAGCTCAGTGGATATTGTGTTTGGATTTGAAGAGGAAGATTATTGGATCCAGGTTGGAATATGAACATTAGTACACTAGGATGTGACATTTATATGCAGCTAATAAGTCTAAATAAGACGAAACATGGATCCTGGATTCCATTACTTACTTCTATCTACCTATTGTGTTATCTTAATACTAGTGCAAAGAAAAATAAATTGAATGATGAAAAAGTTAGATTAGTATAAACCAGTGTATGTCACTTTTCACACATATTATTAGTCAAAATATCATTTAGTTACAGTGTGATATGGCTTATTGATCAATTGAGGGAAGGTTTAATAAGAGATCAATACTGGGTAAAGAGATAACAGAATCCATGGTTTCTTAAATGGATATGCGTATACATCTGAGCTACTTGTAAATAAGTTAATCCTATCATGTAGGAAGGTAATATATGTTCATTTAATTACAGTTATCCATATCATTTGCCTTTACTCTGGATAACATTTATTTAATTACTTACATACGCCAGTTACTCCCAATAGATCATAGGCCGCCAATCAGATTCTCCAACCCACTCTGTCCTGGGCCTTCATTTCTAGTTCTATCCAATTTTTGTTCATTCTTCTCATGTCTGTCTCTATTTCTCGGCGTAATGTGTTCTTTGATCTACCTCTTTTCCTTCTACGTTGAGCATTTCATGTGAAAGCTTGTCTTGTGACGCCATTGGGTGATTTCCTCAATGCGTGTCCTATTCACTTCCAGCGCCTCTTCCTGATTTCTTCCTACACTGGATTGAATCTGGTTTGTTGTTTCACATAGTAGCTTGTCGCTGATAGTGTCTAGCCAACGGATCCGAAGTATTTTGTGTAGACAACTGTTACTATACACCTGTATCTTCTGGATGATGGATTTCGTAGTTATCCAGATTTCCTCTCCATACAGTAGAACTGTGTTGACATTTGTATTGAAAATTGTGATCTTGGTGTTGATTGACAATTGTTTTGAGTTCCAGATATTCTTCAGTTATAAATATGCTGCTCTTGCTTTGCCTATCAGCGCCTTCAATTTGCATCAGATCCACCATCTTCATCGATGATGCTGCCCATATATGTAAAGGTTTCCACATCCGGTTAACTCGCTAAAAAAAAAGCCTAACCGGATAGCACTTAGTCTTCGAATATATCGTAAGTGATTATCATATTCATAGAGATAACATCAATCAGGTCAAAAAAACTTATCAGCAGTAATTTAATCTACTTTCCATTCACTTTAGTAATTATCTACCTAAAACAAAATGGAGGACTGTAAGTTGTCAGTCAGTAGTATATTTCAAGCAATATATTGTTTTACATCCAAATTTACTGATACCAAGTAAATAAAAAAACATGTTTAAATGATCAATAGACAGTGTTGAAACTTCTGATTCAAGCAATAATTCAAATCTTATTGAATTGATTTAAGGGCAATAAAATGTACTCAAAATAACTTCAACGAAGCTTTCCTTTCACATTTAGTTTCATGATTTAGTTCTGTTAAGATCATGTCATACATTTTCAATCATTTAAAGACTTTTAACTTCTAGATCATTTGAATTCATGAGTCAATTGAAGTTAGGAAACCAGGGAAAACCTGGAAGCACTGGACGGCCGTTTTGTTCTATTGTGGGACTCCTCAGCAGTGCACATCCACCATCCCGTCTCACGAGATTCAAACTCAGGACCTATCAGTCTCGCGCGCGAGTATTTAGCCGATAGACCACTGAACCAGCCGGCATCCAACGGTGTTAATGTCTAACTTCAACCAATCCACGAAGTTGAGCAACCATTTCACCAATGTCTTCGGCGAGTTGATATCTCCCAACAGACTTGGTTGAACTCCACAACTCTTACAATAGGACGAAACGGCCTTCCAGTGCTTTCATGGTGGTCTAGCTTCAATTGACTCACAATTTCAACTATATATAAAAAATTGCTGAAAATCTCCGCAAACAACCCCCTTCTAGATCATTTGTTTAGTATCCAATAATCTAAAGTTCCAACCTCAATCGATTCAAATTAAACTTCAACGACCATCCATTGTCCGCTTCAGCTCTCCCAGAAGTGAGACTCAGAATCTAAGAGAAAATAGATCTCTAATGCACTCTGGTTTTTAATCATCTCCAAATAGGGTCAAGCAAGTCCTTATACAAACTTTTAATTTTTCAGACTTTACAGAATGCCAGGTCATTGAAAATAATAAATAGCTACATAACTGTGAAATAAACTATCCAACTGAAAATCATAACAACATACTTTCAAGTGTTCCATCACGAACAAGTTGATTAAAATTTTCTAATATATTTGTTGTACCAATTTTAGAAGGTATATTATAAATAGTTTTACCAATTAATGCATCACTACTATTCATACTTCTTGTAGGTGATTCTGATTTATTTCTTGTATTCATATATACTGATCTAGTGATTACCGGTGATAGATCAGATATTGTTAATTGATTCGATGATAAAGCTAATGGTGAAATTTGATTTATTCCAACAGTTAATCCACCAGTATTTGGATGTGGAAAGTTTAAAATTGGTATACCATTGCTTGAATTTGATGGACTATATGATCCTTCATTATGTAAATTTAATAAATAACTAGATGGTTGTGAATTCATTAGACTATTATTGTTATTATTAGTTTTAGGTTTTGGTGAATAACATTTCGTTCTGGAATTAGATGGTGTTGATAAATTTTCACTAAACATTGATTTACTAAGATCTCTGTATATTTGTACATCTAAATGATTATTATTTGATTCAAGCATAGATCTTCTAATGAGTTGTTGTTTTCTACGTCTTAATATACAACCAAGTATAGTACTTAATATAGCGAAAAATATTAAACCACTAGATAGACCAATTAAAATAATTGTAAATGAAGATGATGATTCGTGTAGATTCCATTCATTTATTTTATCTTTTAATGATTTCAACTTTGAGAAGGTATTTGATTGAATTGTATTTATAGGTGATATTCTATCGGACCATTGACTTGTGGAACATAATTGATGGCCATTGGGATACTAGAATAAATGAAAAAAATAACATATTAAACATTCGTAGATTAATTCATTGTGTTTTCCTTTTATGGTATGATAAATTTTCCAGTGAATAATCTATTTTTTCACTTTTGACCAACAATATTTTGTTTAGAAAAAGATAAACTACTTATAAATTTAACAGTAGCTATAAACTAAATGTGAAAGTTGGACTTTTCGAAACTATCTTTGGAATTACTAGTGCTGCTGGTGATTAACTGGATTATGAAGACCTCGACATCTGAGGAGAAACACGGAATACAATGGACATCTCAAAGCCAATCAGAAGATTTGGACTTCACAGATGATCAAGCTCTCCTATCTCATACACACGAACAAATACGGACGAATACAGGAAATGTAGCAGTAGCCTCTGCGTTAGTAGGCCTCAACATACACAAAGGAAAAAGCAAGATTCTCAAATACAACACGAAGAACACCAACCCAATCACACTTGGTGGCAAAATTCTGGAAGATGTAGAAACATTCACGTAACTAGGAAGAATCATTGGTGAACAGGGAGGATCGGATGCAGATCTAAAGGCGAGGATTGAGGATAAGGAAAGCACCTCCTCTTTTATCTTGTTTATGTACAAGTATTACTTTTATGGTGTTATGAGGTACGGTATGTCTATATACAAATCATGTCTCTTTGAAATAGAGGGTGGCCCCAAACTTTTTGACTAAAAACAGGGCATATAGAGAAGCTTGCGAGTAACGGACTAATAAGAACTCAGATGTGATGGTTTAAAATCAACATTGTTGATTAGGCTTATAATTGGTCAAATCTGGGACACTAGGCCACAGAAAAAAAAACAGACAAAATAAACATACGAATTTTGATTCATGGTTTTAGCACACGATATTGATCAACAGTCTTACATGAGAAAATAGATTAACCATACTCTAATACTTTATTTGTGAAATTTTCAATAATTGTCTCAGACTTCATTGTTCTTGCATTTCCATACCAACTACTTTTTCTTCTCGTTCTTCCCTACTTGGTCTTCTCGGCGTTCTGCTGCCAGACCTTTTATTCCTGTCTAACGTTATATACTACTTATGTTAACATAAGTAGCACACATTACAGTATATCATAACATCAATTAAATGATCATTTAGATCGTACGTTCAAATGAATTTACTAAAAAGAAAACAATAATAGTACCAGTAATAATAAAGTGTGAAGATAATGACCCACTTTGGTAATTTATAAAGTTTATTACTCTTTACTGAAATTAGATACCTTTCTTGGAAGATACTTCATGAAATAATTGCTAATTACTAAAAAAAGCTTAAAGTATAGGATAGTTAAAGGGTTCTTTTAGGATTCCTATGATATTGGCAGAATAGAATAGTAGATTTAACATTCTATTTAGATCAAAAAAGGATTCGTGAATAATGAAAATGAATGTTATCTGTTTAGCTATTATGAAACATTGTGTTTGATAATTATATATCAATTTTAATAGTTGAGATCAACAATCAATTATAGCTAAACCACCATGGAAAACCTGGAAGCACTAGATGGCTGTTTCGTCCTACTGTGGGACTCATTTAACCGTGATTTGTGTTGTCAGTCATGTTGTAGTGAACAAGAACATAAATGGGTAAATTAGAATGTATTCGAACAAAAAATTATAGAATATCATAGTAAGATCTGAAAACTATACAGTAAATACTTAATTTACAAAATATCAATCAATTGTCTCAAAGTTGATTGATCCTTTGTAAATGTAAGTCAATCGTCTCAGATCTCATTATTCTTTCGTCTCCATAACAATCATTGTCTGTTCTCGTTCTCTATTCTTCGATCTTCCTAACTTTCTGCCTTCAGTCATTTCACTTTCTATTGATGATACATACTACTTTTATCTATTAACATCAGTAGTATACATCACAATGTTAGTAAAGAAACAATAAAAATCGATAAAATTATGTCATGTTCATGATGTTTCATTGATTTACTGGGTCTAGAAATGTTGACCGAATAAATTCCAACTCAGAAGGTCGATATTTATTAATCGCCGAATAATAAATAATGTAATTTTCGCCTAGCCTTTTGTGTTGATCGAGTTCTATCGATTAAGTCATATTGTTATCACTAATCTTATTAACAGGGAATAGCTCGAACAGTGTGTTGATACTATGTAGTTGACAGTATTCATCAAGAAACTTTTTTTATATTAACCAAATGAACTTTTAATCTCGAGGAACCTGATGCTCCATGTGGTTTTCATATCGATAACCTCCGAATACCTGGCATCAAGACTCACGATATAAAGTAGTTTCATGAACGCCTTCAGACATGACAATCCTAGTATGGAACTGTGAGAAACCGACAGTGCTTATCAATGAACAGTATCAAAAAAGAGGTGAAATAGTTACAAATTTCTTCTGGAATTTCAGTAGTTTTTTTTATCGATATCAGTAATGAATGGAAGCTACCTAGTGAAATGGAAATAAAGTTGTTTACATTTTCAATTAACCAAACTGTAAGAACTAGATATCATCTTCATCACTAATGTGCAATGAAAACTTCATGCTAATAATAAACTACTTAGTGTATAGCATTTCTAAGTGATGACTATTCAGTAACGTAGTACGTCCTAACAACTAAATATCAGAAGGCTGAATTACTGGTCAACAAGTGAATCGTTTAGAAAGTTATTTTATTACAAGATACTATTCAAATAATCAATTATTTAGATGAAACACACACACACACATCACAATCACTAAGTGAATTTCCATTTAACATTCATTCATTTATTGGTATTGATATTGATATTGATATCTAAAACTGATCATATTTATTAATCCCGTTCAATTATTTTGATCGGATAGGTATTAGAAGCAAACGATACTGAATTTAAGTCCTGAAGCAAACATCAATTTTGCTACACAAGCATATCCAGCTAACGAGTAATGGATTCTAATGCTAGACACTATACATCTATTCTTTATTTGTTCCAAATATATACACCGGCGACTCTATAATTTATGGATGACCTTTGAACGAACATTAAGTGACCTTGACAAATATTAGCCAATCAGTAAACAGTCAGTATAGAGTAAAAATATATTATACAAAACCAAAGAATTAAAGTGGATACACTTCTTTTATATGATTCAAAAAATTGTCAACGTTAGAAAGAGGTTTAAATGTTCTAAAATCGTAATCCATAAGGTGGAGGAACTCATCCATATGGCTCCAAAATAGTCGGTCTCTGGAGCCATGATAAGGTCACAAAAACCCTTTAAGTTTCGACCACATAGCTTCATTATTGTTTGTATGTACTCCGGTTGTGAAAATTTATCATTTTTTTAATCATGGATATATCCTTGCAATGCTCATACCACTGAACAGCCGAAGTTTCGGTCACATTGCAGCCAATTTTGCTGATGCTTTTATTACACAGTTGGCGGTAATTATTATAATTTACCTTAGTCTCAATATGGATGGAGCGATATAGGTTCCTATTCTACTAAACGTCTTCCTTCAAAATATATTACATCAAAGGACAACATCACGGTAGTCTGTACAAGGTCTATAAGTCATTTAATACCCGCAATTAAAAATACAAAAACTCCTTAGTAGTCTCATTTGTTGTAGCCGCTTAATTGTCAAATCTTCTCTAAAATTCTCTGTGAAACGACCATACATGAGCATCAGGTACTGAAATAGGCGCCGTGACCTAGAAATCCCTCAAACGCTTCTGATTGACTCGTCCATAGATTAGAATCTCGCTTATACACTTATTGGATTAGTCAACTTAGAATGTGTTCATTAATGAATGAATGAATCAATCAATCAGTCAAATGAGTTTATGCATTACAATTTTCTATGTTCATTTTATTATGAAATAGACTACTTATATCCAATAAGTAGTTTCACAATAAACTTGAATCGATTTTGGTACAGAGATAGTTTAATCACTATCCAATAAATAATAATCACCGGGGATGAGGGGGGGGGGAAGAAATTGAATATTTAACAATCACTAACTATATAATGTATAGTATATTTATCCTAATCTATACAGATTTACAATCGACAAAAGATTAGAAGAGAAATGAAGAAAAGGAAGAAAGAAAAACACAACCAAATGCTAGAAGATTAAAAGTAATAATGATAGAATCCCATGTGAATAATAAATAGATGAATATATGTTTATATTATGAAGGATATTAGAAATTCTTATTTGGGTTTGTTTATATAATTTTTTTTAAAAAAAAAGCGGGAAATGGATAATATTTCAAATAATGTATATTTTTTTATTATAATTAAACATTATATTATCAGAAGGGGTTTTTTGTGGAGATTTAGCAGTTTCATAGTTGAAAGCGTGAGACAATTGAAGCTAAACCACCAGAGAAAACCTGAAAGCACTGGAGCACTTCAGTGCTCCATCGTGAGACTGGTAGATCCTCGGTTCGAATCTCGCGAGGAGAGGTCTTGGATGCGCACTGCTGCGGCGTCCCATAATAAGATGAAACAGCCGTCCAGTGCTTGCAGCTTTTCCATGGTGGTCTAGCTTCAGTTGACTCACGCTTTCAGCTATGAAAATATATTATATCATTTCACATATTACTAATTATTATTGTTAACTATGACTATTATGAGCAAAGATGGATAGCGGCTAGCAGTGGAATACAGGATGCGCGTTTCGTTCATATTTGAGACTCGTAAGCTGAATGTACTTGCATCTCGGAGTTGATGTTCACTCTGGAACTGAGTGGTTAACGCAATGGCGTTTGAAGTGAACGGTATTGGGTTCGAGTTTCAGAGTTGGCATCAACATTGAGATGCAGGTACATCCAGATGAAGAGTCGCAAGAGTCGCGCATCGTAGATTCCACTGCTAACCACTATCCATCTTTGCTTATAATACCTGTGAATTAAGATATATCGAGGCAATACGCACAGTATGCACATATGCCAATTAGAGACTGACCAGTTGCAGTCCTAACAAATCGATGGGAAGATTCAAACAAACAATACTAAGTTGAATTTAAACAATTAGATATATTAATTATAGAAGGGGTTTTGTGGAGATTTAGTGTTTACTATAGTTGAAAGCGTGAGTCAATTGAAGCTAGACCACCATGGAAAACATGGAAACACTGGACGGCCGTTTCGTCCTATTATGGGACTCCTCAGCAGTGCGCATCCACGAACCCACTCTCGCGAGCGAGATTCGAACCCAGGACCTACCAGTCCCATAATAGGACGAAACGGCCGTCCAGTGTTTCCAGGTTTTCCATGGTGGTCTAGCTTCAATTGACTTACACTTTCAATTAGATATATACAAATGATTTTTTTTAAAAAGTATGAGAGTTTTTGATTGTTATTTATCAAAGGATGCTTAATTTTCAGGAAGAAAAGGAGAAATGGAAACGTTAAATAATTATTTCAATATTCGATACTTTAAGTTTTGATTATGTTTTTTTCTAAATAGTTGAGATCATGAATCAATTGAAGTTAGACCACCATGGAAAACCTGGAAGCAATGGACGGCCTTTTCGCCCTATTATGGGACTCATCAGCAGTGCGCATCCACGACCTCACCTCGCGAGATTCGAACCCAGGATCTACTAATCTCCCTCCAGAGCATTTAAGCGATTAACCACTCAGCCGGTATCCAAAGGGAGATATCAATTCACTGATGACATTGGTGAATGGTTGCTCAATTTCATGGATTGGTTGAAGTTAGACATTAACACCATCGAATGCCGTCATGTTCAGTGGTCTGTCGGTTAAGTGCTCTGGCACGAGACTGATAGGTCCTGCGTTCGAATCTCACGAGGCGGTGTCATGGATGCGTACTGCTGAGGAGTCCTACAATAGGACGAAACGGTTATCTAGTGCTTCCAGGTTTTCCATGGTAGTCTACCTTCAATTGACTCATGATTTCAACTATGAAAATACTGAAATCTCCACAAAACCACTTAAATAACTAATCAAGTTTACACAGAATGTACTAAAACCAACAAACATAATCACTTCTAATTTTAGTTTATTTCTGTAATATAAAAAAAGAAGAAAAGTCAGTTATTTTATCAGTCAAGACCAGAAAGAAAAGCAGAAAAAGAAAACACAAAATTTTGTCATATAATAAAAACAAAACAAACAATTTTAACTGATATAAACTGTGTGTGATTATGAATGATGACAGATAGATAGATGTACACACGACAGAAGGTTTTATTCTCTTTTATCTTTTTTCATGAAATAAAAAGGAAACATTTTAAGACATAACAAGTTCTTTTATGTATTTCTTACTTTTATGATGATGATGATGATGATGATGAAGAAGAAGAAGGAGAAGAAGAAGAAGAAGAAGAAGATGATGATGATGATGATGATGATGATGATTTGGATGATGATGATGATGATGATGATGATGATGATGATGATGATGATGATGATGATGATGATGATGATGATGATGATGATGATGATGATGATGATTTGGATGATGATGATGCTGATGATGAAGATGATGAAGAAGAAGAAGATGATGATGATGCTGATGATGATGATGATGATGATGATGATGATGATGATGATGATGATGATGATGATGATGATGATGATGATGATGATGATGATGATGATGATGATGATGATGATGATGATGATGATGATGATGATGATGATGATGATGATGATGATGATGATGATGATGATGATGATGATGATGATGATGATGATGATGATGATGATGATGATGATGATGATGATAGTATATTATAAATAAATCAAGCTGTACGTAAATTAGAACAAATTAATTTTATGACCATGTAATATCAATGAAACTCATTTCTTTCTTTTTTTTCACATGGATAAAGAGATAGATATATAGATAGATGGTTATTGATAAACTTTTAAATTATTGTGAATATGAATTTATGATAAACTGTAAGTTTATCATTAATATATTTAAATAGTATCCTATTAGATTAGACAAAACAAGATATGGATTATAGTAGGTTATTATTGCCTTATCTTATATCAATGACGATATCAATGATTACATCATCTTCTTCATTGTTAGCTTAAAACAAGAAAGTAGAATATAATAGGAGGATGGTTTCTGTGTTTACGATTGATCATTTATAATAAAGTAAACAAACTATTGGCTATAGATAGTTAGAATTGTTCATTATCTACCATAGAAGTGATACGATAAATTGTATATTTCATGGGTATAGTGTAACATCTACTACCATTCTGGGGTGTGTGTTAAGGATAAAATTTCCCTTTGGGCTATATCAATGTGTATCTATAAGTTTACTTGCTCATATGGGCACGTTACATAGGCCGTACAAAGCGGTCACTTTCCAAACACATCACGGAAAGCTATCCGGCTTGGCTCTTAAAAAGAAGAATGTAAAAAGATAACTAGTTTGGTACAGGAGCATTTATTTAACTGTGGACATATCGCTCCAAAAGACTCTTTTTTTAAAGTAATCTACAGAGTCAAAGGAACCGGATTGAAGGAGAGGGGGGTTGAGTCAATATTTTATGCACTGTTGAGGCATTGGTAATCCATGAACTCAAGCCTGAACTTTGCGTGCAGAAACGATTTGTCCAACCTTTCACCCTTCCTTGTCCCTAACTCCCTTAATGTGTAACATCTACTAATTTAAGATACAAATGACACTGTAGTTATCTCATTTTCATGGTAGATTTCATTTCATTTTTGTATATATCACTTAATAATATAAATCTTATACTTACATAATTTATGAATGTTACAATGATGATAATAATCATAGTAATGTTTTTGTGACGATCCTGTAAATTTCTTGCTATAGATATGACGAGCTCAGGAAACATTATGAAGCATTCTATCCAATTAGTTTTGCTAGAAACATCACGAAATTGGAAAGTCACATGTAGAGCTTCTGATTGGTTGATTATCACACTGCTAATATGTTTAGTAGTATTCTAGAATTTTCAGTAAAACTCAAGGACTTCTAAAATACTATAAAAAAACTATAATTTCAGTAGATGAATGAACCTTTAGAGTAAAGTGCTTCTCGCATATTTTGCGCCTTTTCTATTGTGTTCAAGTTGCTGTGTCGATTTAGTTTGAGGGTTACGAGACTAGCTTAAAGTCCCGAGTACAGCGTTCAGTTTGCAAGACTTAGCAAATGTTGTATTTTAAAATGCCGTCATTTCTGGTTACCAATTCTGAACGTGCCAAAATCTTCACATTGATAAAAAGAAATACATAGTTGTTGTCAGTATTCAGTCAAAACAATTTATAAACTAGATTGTTTCAAATTCGATGAAAACTAATTGGAAAGAATTCTGAATTCGACAGACCTCAGGAACTTGATGAGGCCGCCCGAAGGCAGTTTGTCAAGCGATTGTATATTCCATTACCTACCAGCAGCGCAATAAAGCAAGTAGTACAAAGATTACTGAGACAAAATCATTACACGCTAAAAGAGGACGTGATTCATCCATCAAATTATTTAATTTGATCGTTTACTTTCTATCTGTTACCAAAGACGATTGAAAGTATCGCTATTTGACAATTCATTAAAACAGAGTTATTGAGGGCTGTGTCCCAAAAAGGAAACAGATATTCAGTGCATCGTGGTTCCCAACCGTTGTCTATTTAAGATCAGCCCGTTTATAAAGCCATGAAGATATCATAAGCGTTACAAAACCCTATAAAGAAATGAGAAGGAAATAAGGAAGGATCAAATCTTATACTAGCAGTTTCATTGGTAAATTCACTTCTTGACTATTTCAATGAAGAAATCGTTTATTTAAGTTAGTCCTAAACTTAAAACCATTAAGATGTTAAAGATGGTGTTCATGAAGTCATATTATGGAACGTTTATCAATTTCTCCTTTATTCTATTCTATTTAGAAGGAAAAATGTGATCATTCATCTACTTTAGCAGTTATAAGAAGTTACACACCTAACATTGTTTTAAAATTAGATCATAGCTGTTAACGATGTAGATTTAGATTCTAATATAACATCAAAATTCATAATTGAAACTATATACTACTGAAATATAGTATACACTGAATGGATTACTTGTACCATTACTTACCTGTGAACATGCTCTCAAAGCAACACGATATATGGTAGATTGAAAAAGACGTTTATTATTTACTTGTATAGTTTTCATAAACATATCACCATTAAAATTGTGATAGTAAGGTTTATCTTCATTATTTTTATTGATATGACTATCAGTTTCATGTATGTCTGATGTACCACCATCTTGGTAATATGATCCCAGATCAGTTGTTTCCTTTACATTTCTGTTATATGTTTGATTTCTATTCGTTTGAGCATGTAAGTAGTATTGAGTTTCTAGAATAAAATTATCTATTTCTTCACTACCTAATATAATGACTGCAGTTTCATGATTTGGTTTAAATAAATTTATTGTATGTCGTGCTAATGCTAAATAAGGTGCTTGATTACTTGGTAGATCACTGTTTTGTGATAAACTTTTCAAATCATAATTAGATGGATTAATAACTAAAGATTTGGATGACTTCAAAAGATCATTATTAACTAGATTTTTGTTTGTTGTCACTGTATTCAATTCTGGTGATATAATCACATAATAATTATGTATAGGACCATTTTCTTCAGATACCCGATGTAATTTTACTTCAATTATTGAAGTTGGTCCTTGAGGATCTGAAGGACCTGCATAGATTGCAAGTAATTCTGGCTGTTTTATATATTCTGGTGCTAGAAGGAAGTAGGGAATTACAATGAAAATAAAATTATTAAAATAAGTTATGTAACGATGTGATATTCTGACATCAAATGAACTTTTGTAGAAATCAATTAAACGTCAAAATAACTTATGCATAACACCATGTAGTTTAGTTAATTGAGATTCATTAACGGAGGAAGAAATCAGGAAGAAGTGCTGGAAGTGAATAGGACACACATTGAGGAAATCACCCAACTGTGTCACAAGACAAGCCCTCACATAGAATCCCCAAAGTCAAAGAAGGAGTGGAGGATTAAAGAACACATTACGCCGAGAAATGGAGACATATATGAGAAGAATGAACAAAAGTTGTATAGAATTAGAAAGGAAGGCCTAGGACAGAGTGGGTTAGAGAATGTTGGTTGGCGACCTATACTCCATTGAGAGTAACGGGGGTAAGTAAGTAAACTGATTCTAAATTGTTATGTTGTTGTTAGCGGGTTATAGATTGGATCAAAGCATGTTCCATGCACGACTGTGTTGGTGCACGCTGATCCGCTGTTTTTTATTCTATCAGCGCTACTCGATGTTTGGAGAAAACTCTAGAATCTCATGTAAAACTATAAATTCACTAACATTTCTCTTATTGTGCTTCTTACTTCCATTTACCCTTGTTATTTGGAATATAATTTCGTTCTTGTTCAACCGTGTTTTGATTCAGGGACTTGTCGAGTGAATTGGTGTCCAAGAATACTAAGCAATATGAGTAGCTGGGTCATAATAAGAGAAACTATAACAGTTGTTCAATAACACTACTGATAAGTCCTATCATCTAATTTATATCTTTGAAATGGAGATATTTACCAGTTGAAGCAAATATCAATAGTGAAGTAATGGCTTGGTGAATAAAGAATTACTTTAATAGAGTAACCAATTATAATAATGGAGTCGACAATTTGAATTCCATTCCACCTCTCTCAATACACTGGGAGGCAAATCGTATCGTTAATACTCAAATAGCTAACGTTACTTGTAAACTTCTACCTAACATGTTAACTAACATATTCAAAATTGAATCAGTCATCATAAAACTGATCGACATTAGTTCATTACCAGTGATTACAGTCTAGATATAAATTGTTACCTAAAACAGTAAAGTAATACGTCATTCAGTTGCATCGTTAGAACAGTCATGACCCGTATAAATCAATAGAAACAAATTAAGGGGGTTTTGTGGAGATTTAGTATTTTCATAGTTGAAAGCGTGAGTCAATTGAAGCTAGGCCATCAGGGAAAACCTGGTCAATAACTAGTGACTGACTTCGAGAGATAAATCCAGGTGTTCTAGTGAGAAACAGTGACCAGTTGAGTTCAAATCAGGTCTGTTGCGAGATAGTAACTCGCTGAAGTCAATTGGTTAGCGTATATTGATGCAGAATAATATTAATTCATTATATTTCGTGGTTTCTCATCATCTGCTTACAACCAAATATGCATTAGAGTTTTAGCATTGGGGTAATAAATAGGATGGAACAACTGACATAAGTGAATGTAAAACTCTAATGCATATTTGGTTGTAGGCAGCTGACGAAAAAACCACGAAATATAATGAATTCATATCATTCTGCATCAATATTTGTTCTGTCTTTATTTAAATTCATATAGGGAACTAACTGTATGAAATTAGTGAACGGTTGCTCAACTACGTGGGTTGATTGAAGTTAGACATTAACACCATGGATGCCAGCCGGCTCAGTGGTCTATCGGTTAAGTGATCTGGCGCGAGACTGGTAGGTCCTGGGTTCGAATCTCGAGAGGCGAGGTCGTGGATGCGTACTGCTGAGAAGTCCCACAATAGGAAGAAACACATGAGACTGTCGAAATGAATGACTTTAACTTGAATCCACCAAAAAGCATGAATTCGCACAAAATTCTAGATAAACCTTATTGACGAATACTAACAAGCTCTAAATTCAGGTCTGTAGTTTGTTATCAACTACCTCCAACCACTTAATAACATCAACTACATTTAAGAAAGGGATCAAATACTCATTGTGATAACGGTTTTATAGTTCTTATTATTTTCTAAATTGTGATCTTATGCTTATTCTATCAGAGAAGTGATAATTGTGATTGTTATATCGTAGTGAAGACATAAGTACGGGTAACTCCCAGAACCTATCAATGGACTACTATTCTATATATATTTTCATGGTTTAAGAATTGAGTAACTAGATTATGTATATCTATATTCATTTTAATATAAGCTTCATTTTGACCTATGAATTATTATTATAGGATTTACCGTCCCTAAATTATCTATCCACGTTCACAGCCACATTTGGTTTGATTTTGTACAAATATTATTTTCTATTTTATGGTGTGATGCGTTCTGTCTGTCTGATGTATAAACCGAGTATGCTTGAAACAAATGATTCGCATAGCAGAAGCTGCAATCGGTGTTTTGGACTCAATTAGAAGGGCTCAGCGGACAAAGGACCAATAAGGACGCTAGACTGCTCATGCTGGTCGAACGTCATTGATTTGGCACAGTGTTAAGATTAGACAAGTCGTATTCCGATTGGTGGATAAATCACGTGATAAAAAGCCGGACATAAATCATAACGATTTGGCATGAGGTCTATATTTTTTATAGTCATAACAGTGATTTCATATAAATCTGTCGGATGTGAGATGGTTCAATCCTACTAACAATAGATGACGATTGTGCTATAACGCTAACTGACTGGATTTAGACATATTAACAATTTTATTTCGGCCTTATTGATCTAGAGGTTAAGTGTTCGTGTACAAGACGATAGGTCATGAAACCGATTACTGGATACAAAGTTGTAGATATGCATAATAAGGTGAAATGGTCATCTAGTTCTCTTAGGTTTTCAGTAATCTTTTAGCTAAGATTTAAACTATGGATATAAATCTATGGTTGGAGAAGACTGAAGCATATGCATATTATATTATAATTATACTGTAATCAATTTGTTTATTTAATCTAAGGTGAATCATTCCATGCATTTCGCCAATTTAATAATATTATCCGATAAAAAACGGATAGGAAGTTTTCTTTATACAAATGTATATGTTTATTATATACCCCATTTTTTGGTGCTATTTAACTATTCTAAAATAAACATTCCATTAATGTTCACTTAGCCATTGTTTGTTTGAATCTTCCCGTTGATGTGTTAGGACTAAAACTGAATAGTCTCTAATTGGCATTTGGACATACTGTATGTATTGCCTCGATATAGCCTTAATTCACAAGCATTGTAAGCAACGATGAATTAAGGCTATATCAAGGCAATAAGCACACTATGCACATATGCCAATTAGAGACTGACCAGTTGCAGTCCTAACACATCAATGGGAAGATACAAACAAACAATACTAAGTGAATTCAAACTTCACTCCATTGCCCAACAAGTGGCCATCAGGACTCAGTAGCTGAGTGGATTGCGCGATGGAGTTTGTAGCCGACGGTGCTGCGTTCGAGTCCCAGATTGAACATCAACTGTGAGATGCAGATACATCCAGCTGACAAGTCCCAAATAGGACGAAACGCGCGTCAAACTGGATTCCACTGCTTCATCATGATAGGCAAGCCCGACCACCACGTCAAGGTAGCAGCAACGGTCGGGATTTAAAAATTTGTATCTATTTTAAGAATAACTTCACATATAATCATGGATAGTGGCTAGCAGTAGAATCCAGTTTGACGCGCGTTTTGTTGTATTTGGGACTGGTCAGCTGGATGTACCTGCATCTCAGAGTTTATGTTTACTCTTGGACTCGAACCCAGTACCTTTCGTTTCAAACGCTATAGCGTTATCCACTCGGTCACTGAGTCCTGATAGACACTTGCTTGTGCAATGGGGTGAAGTTTGAATTCACTTGGTATCGTTTGTTTGGATCTTTCTATTGATGATTAGGACTGCAACTGGTCAATCGTGTCCGATTCCTAGAGTGAACATCAACTCTGTGATGCAGGTACATCCATCTATCCATCTTTGCTTACCATGCTTGTGAATTTAGGCTGTATCGAGACAATACGCACAGTATGTCAATTAGAGACTGACCAGTTGCAGTTTTAAAACATCAATGGGAAGATTCAAACAAACAATACTAAGTGAATTTAATGTTTAATCATGTTTTTATTAGGGTAACTTGTGTTAATAACTCAGGTTTTTTTCAATTATCATTATGTGGTTACATACTGCAACAAATCAGAATGAATAAATTACAAATCTGTACAAAAACGTACTATTTTTCTCAATTATAAAAGTGTCTTTAGTATTTCTATCCGTATGAAAAACAAAACCAATCTTATATACACTTGGTGTTGTTTACTTGTATCTTCCCATTGTTATTTAGGATTGCAATTGATCAGTCTCTTATTGGCATATCAAAATTATCAGTAGCTAAGTGGCGTTTGAAGCGAACGATACTGTGTTTGAGTCCCAAAGTGAACATGAACACCGAGATGCAGCTGACGAGTTCCAGATGGGACGGGACGCGCGTCCTGGATTCCATTGCAAACCAATCTTATTTGAATAAATTTCATATGAAATATTTTAAAAATTCAATTCTTAAATGTATAGATCATTACGTAATTTTAAATTGTATACAACATACTGATACGATTGAAATGAAGTCACATGGAATGAGTTCTTTTGATGAGTTTAAATAAAGCCAGAACAAACATGGATATATATATATTCCTTAGTACATACACGAACCCACCCCATGAGATTCGAACACAGGACCTATCGATCTCGCAAGCGAACGCTTAACCTCTAGACCAATGACCCGGCCGACATTCAACAGTACCAATGTCTAATTTCATAATAAGAATGGAAAATTGATATTAAGCAAAATTTTTTTTATCTGAAATTCGTTATTTTTTATTGAAATATGAAATTATTAACAATTATGAAAATATGCCCGAGAGGCCTGCTTGAATATCTGGTTTACCACTTCCTGAGATCTAGATATTTTAACAAGTTATCAGTTTTCTTGTTTGTTTTAACAGATCATTATGCCATTTAATTGCATAATCTATTCAGATGCGTTTTTGAAAAGTTTATGACCTTTAGCTGTACAAATTACAAAAATTTACAATCGCAGACATCATGTTGGTTATCAGTCTGCATTGAAAACAATGAACATTATTCAGATATCGATTCTTGAACTGCTAACATCTAACTGGAGACCAATCAATATTTATCATGAGGTTCGATAAAGAAATAAGAAACGAAACCTGGCTGAAATACTTCGTGCTAAGAATCCTATATTGTATCGAAACTAGAATATTGAATAATTGTCTAATTGATTTATATATTTATACATGGTGAAACACCGAGTGTGAAAAAAGTGGCTGAACTACTCAAAACAGGATATTAACATTATAATAATTCAGCAAAGATATACTTACCACTCCATTCGGTATGACAAATTATAGTCACGGGGATACCTTCTTTAGCTCCTATATTACCTTCTGTAATAAGTGCACGATAAATTGGACGAATCGTTATTTTATATTGACTATTTGGTTTTAAATTTGGTATTTGCATTTTGTGCGTTTGTTGCTGCAGATGATGATGATCTTCTAGACTTGACATACTATTAAGCATATTAACTAATGGCCAATTTAACATTTCCGGTTCATTATTATCAATTTGTTGATCAATATTTTGATGTAATTGAATGTCACCTAAATGAACAGATTTTAATACACCACTACTTGTGATAAATTCACTTCGTCCAGATATGTGTAACTAAAATAGACGGTAAGAAAAGGAAGAGAGAAGAAATGTTAACGATTATTTGTATACACCTCACAAAGAAGCTCCATACTTTTTGATAGTATTTTATAGAATCGAATAGTCGACTAGCTGGAACTCAAAACAATGGCCAACCAACACCAAAATCACAATTCGTTATACAAATGTCAACACAGTGCTACTGTATGGAGCGGAGACTTGGAGAACTACGAAAGCCATCATCCAGAGGATACAAGTGTTTATTAACAGTTGTCTGCGCAAAAAACTCCAGATCCATTGGACAGACAATATCAGCAACAACAAATCAGAACAAACCAGATTCCATCCAGTGGAGAAAGAAATCAGGAATAAGTGCTGTAAGTGAATAGGAAACATTGAGAAAATCACCTAACTGCGTCACAAGGCAAGCCCTCACATGGAATCCTGAAGGTCAAAGGAGGAGTGGAAGACCAATGAACACATAACGCCGAGAAATTTAGACAGACATGAGAAAAATGAACGAAAATTGGATAGAACTAGAAAGGAAGACCCATGACAGAGTGGGTTTGCGAATGCTGGTCGGCGGCCAATACTCCATTGGGAGTAACAGGCGTAAGTAAGTAAAAATAGTCAACTAGATATTAACTGCGTATCAAATATGATTTTGTGTGGTAGATTTGATTGAAAGTAAGGAATATTATGGGTCATTTATTTACCATTAGAATTAAAATTTGAATGTAAGGCTTAATTATTACTCATTATGTAAAAATAGATTCATTAAACATATAGTAAGAATTATACAGGATGTGACGGTTGGAATATCGATCAACAATCCGAAACTAAGTAACTAACTGATTTTGTTGGGGAGACCTAGAAAATTTTCCAAAAACGACCACTAGGGCTCTGAAAACTCTGGGAAACATCTTATTTAATCAGCATTCAGTAGGAGTATCTTGGAAACAACTGGAAAGTGAAAAGTCACATGTCATATGTATGATTGGATGGTTACCCATACTGCTGTTATGTTTAGAAGGGTTCCAGAAATTTCCAGAACCGGTTTTCCGTACATAAACTAACCTCAGAATAAAGCGGTCTTTTCATACTTCGCAACTTAACTCTCATGTTGAAGTTGCCGTATAGATTTAGCGTGGCTGTTACTAGAAGAGCTTAGGAGATCCAATCAAGTGTTCAATATAAAGACTTATCAGATTTATTAGCTGATGAGCCTCATAGAGTTTACGCACAACATTAACGATATTTTTCGATACTTAAATAATGAGACAAATATATACTCTTAAAACATATTAATCAGTAGTATATTTTAAAGACTGACTTTAAAAGAACAACTGATAACGGAGTTTCAACAATTCACTGACAGATCAAACCATAAAACACATGGATGATTGTGATAATAAAAGGCACACTTCATACACACATTCGAAACAGCTTGTGTTATCCAGAACATAAATGTGTCTTATTTAAGTCCAAATTTGTTTTGAAAACAACAGGATTTCATCATCTATAGATTTGAAACGTGATAATTGAATTAGAATAATCATGTCCAATGTGGACAACTGTCTTTACATCGTATGTTTTGTTTAAAATTACATACATTCTGTATAGCTGAAAAATTAAATCAAGTTGAATAAGGAGGTTGAATTTAGATGACGTGTGAATTATCATTTTGCTATATAAAAAGAACAACGTTCTAAATCATTTATAAGCAAAAATGGGTAGTGGCTAGCAGTGGAATACCGTACGCGCGTTTCGTCCCATTTGAAACTCGTCAGCTGGATGTACCTGCATCTGGGTTGATGCCCACTTTAGGGTTTGAACCTAGTACTTTTTGCTTCAAACGCCATCGCGTTATTCACTTACCTACTGAGTCCTGATGTCTACCTGTTTGTAAAATGGGATGAAGTTTTAAATTCACTAGATATTGTTTACTTCTATCTTTCCATTGTTATGTAGGACTGAAACGGATTAGCTTCTTATTGGCATATGTGAACATCAACTCTGAGATGTAAATACATCCGGCTGACGAGTCCCGAATAGGACGAGACGCACGTCCTGTATTCCACTGCTAGCTACTATCCATCATTGCTTACAAATTGAATCGTTTGTAACAATCAAAATATCTTATATTCAACATGATAAATGAATACAGATGTCAGCTTTTCTTTAAAGAATAACTTACTTGATATTCAAGTAGATTAGCTAAATGTATCGGAGGTAACCATTCAATTGTAATTGTATTCATAGTTCTATGTATACATTTAAAATTTTGTACAGTAAACTTCTCTGGTTGATCAGGTATATCCATGAATATAAAATTATGATTTTGCTTATAGTTCATATTATTATTACCATTATTAATATCCCCATTACTATTGTCAATGAGTGTTGAATGTTGATAAGAATTAGTATTAATGATATTGGATAATTCACCTTCATTCCCATTTAAGTCAACTGAACTCAAACGAATTAAATATTCATCATTTGGACTTAAATTACCCTAAAATAATGAAAATAATAATGATGAAGACAAAAACTATTGAGCAAAGAAATAAATGCGATGAAATTACTTTTTGTTAAAAAGGGCAGGTTATAATTAGATTAGTAAGATTGATTGAAGTTAGACATTAGTACCATTGGGTCCCAACTCTATGGTCTAGAGGTTTGTCGTTCGAAAGTCCTGGGTTCGATTCTTGTTTGCTTAGTTGTGGATGTGCATTTCTGAAGAGTCCCACATTTGGGCAAAATGACAGTCCAGTGTCTACAGGCAGTCTAACTTAGATAGGTCCATGGGTTCAGTGTGATCAGTAACAATGTAGTTTACATGTGAGAAGCATAATTTGTGTCGTGAGAAACATAATATGAATGTTGAGTTCCCATAATTATGATAAGAATGTTCAGAATTGTTTCAACATATTAAATTTTTAAATTATAATCCCTCAACAAACCAATAAAATTCGACCAGCTTTCAAAGGGTAGACAAACATGATATCAGTTACTACTCATTGATCAGTCATTTGTAAATATCCATGTCTAACATGGAGTCAGTCACTTCCCGGATAGGTTAATGGTAAACTCCTCTTCTTTAGAGTTGGTTCATGTGGGCGATGACCAATGGAATTCAATCGTGTAGGGTGTTAAGTAGTTATCTACTGAAATCAGTGGAAAATGATCACGCAATATCAAAGACTGAATAAAACTAGACTTATGCAATATTGGACCTCAGCTCAATGGTCTAGAGGTTAGGTGTTTAGACGGGAGGTCAGAGTTCTTAAGTATGATTTCCAGTTGCGTAGTCGTTGGAGCGCACTGTTGATGAGACAAATACAATGACTAAATGACATTCCATTTCTTCCTGGCTGACAGTTATTATCTAAATTGAATCCTTTCAGGATTTGAATAAAATTTGACAGTCTTCACAACTTGATACTGACAGATGTTCATTCTTTGTAAATTAGGTAGTCAGAACTAGTCATCAAAACACCTTGCTTTAACTAAGTTTCCTGTTACTTAGAACTTATCAAGAAGGTGTATTCGTACCCTTTTACGGATTACGATTACTATTGAGCAATTCGGTCCATAAATAACCTTCCATGGAATTGAAAATAGTTATATTACTTCAATAAGAACGTCAAAACAGTTCTACTCTGCGAAACTGAAACTTCGATAACTACTACAACCATCATCGAAAAGGTACAAGTATTTATCAACAGTTGTCTAGGTAAGATACTCAATGTCCGTCAACTAGATACTGTCAGAAACAGCCTACTGTGAGAGAGAACAAAACGGCTTCCATCTGAATAGGAAATAGGGAAAAGACATTGGAAGTGGATAGGACACATATATAGGACACACAAATCATCAAACTGCAGCACAATACAAGCTCTAACCTGGAATCATGAATGGGAAAGGAAAAGTGGAAGGTCAAAGAAGATACTACATCAGGAATTGTATGCAGAAATAAAAAGGATGAATATAGACTGAAAACAAGTAGCAAGGATTACCTAGGACAGAGTTGAATGTAGGATGCTAGTGTGTGGCCTATTTAAAGATGTTTTATCATCACATATTATCAATAAACTCAATAAGTCGATTCTCTATTCTCTACATAGACAATAGAACAAATATCAGAAGGGGCTTTTCTGTAGATATCTGTTATGTCCCGATAACAATAGTGAATGGTAACTTTTAAGAACTATTAATGAACCAATATGATACATATATTCTTATTGTATAATCGTCAACTAACTAAACTATTCATATTTGTGTCCCTCTTATTATAGGGTTTATTTTGACCTATAAACTATTGTTTTATGATTGATGATTCTTGAATTATACTCTGCCTTTCATTTACTGTCTCTTTTATTCACAACCACTTTCGCCTATGGACTATTCTAATCCGTTGTTCCTGGCTCTTCTAACTGGATCAAGAAGTCATGATGAGATGTAGAAAAATGTATTCTACAAGCACCCAGAAAATCAACCCAAAAAATCAAGCTTATTTATACAATGATAGAAACGCCTTTGGAAGAATCACAAAATAACATACTAGAAAAATCCATCAACTAATGACAGTCAAGGAATTCCGAGTGGAAAATGTAAGCTGTAGGTCAACTAAGCGTTTTGCTGGTGCGAAAACATAAAATTCAAAATTTCAGAAAAAAACTACAAAATTAGGACCTTTTCCAAGTAAGTTCTGAGGATCTAACGTCGGCAACAATATTATAGTAATCATTAGAAAGGAGTTTTGTGACTGGAACCATAAGGTATTCCCTGGAGTTCTAGTGAGAAGCATTAACCAGTGGAGTTCAACCAGGTCTGTTGTGAGATAGTAACTCACTGAAAATATTGGTGAATGGTTGCTCAATTTCGTGGATTGGTTGCAGAAAGACATTAACACCGTTGGATACCGACCGGCTCAGTGGTCTATAAGTTAAGCACTCTGGTGCGAGACTAATAAGTCCTGGATTTTAATCTCGCGAGTCTGGGTCGTTTATGCATACTGCTGAGGGGTCCCACAGTAGTACGAAACGGTCTTCCAGTACTTCCAGGTTTCACGATTGATTGATCACTGGGTGGTGATTAATGTCATGCTTGTCAAGTCCTTATTAGTGCTGATCGAATGCTATCGATCAAGTTGCAATGTGGCCACTAGTCTAGGTGGCTTGACACTGTGTGCACTATGTTGAGATAAGATGGTGGTTGGAGGTGGTCAACAGGAAACCCTGGACCCGGGTTTCGTGCTACTTAGCACTCGTCAGTAAGGTGTACCTGTAATCTTGAGGGAACTGGTGCTCCCTGACGGATTCGATCCCGTGTCACTCAGCTTCACAGTCAGAGACGTTACCACTGAGCTACTCGGGCCGCGACTTACCATCACCCAGTGATCAATCAATCGTGATTACATCTCAGTTCTACAGGAGGTCGGTAGCGGCCCGAATAGCTCAGTGGTAACGTCTTTGACTGTGAAGCTGCGTAACATGGGATCAAATCCGTCAGGGAGCACCAGTTACCTAAAGATTACTGGTACACCTTACTGACGAGTGCTAAGTAGCACGAAACCCGAGTCCAGAGTTTCCTGTTGACCACCTCCAACCACCATCTTACTTCTATGTATTCCATGGTGGTCTAGCTTCAATTAACTCATGATTTCAACTACATAATATTATAGTAATTTTAATAATTGGAATCATGATTCAATTGAAGCTAGTGACATCATAGAAAACCTGGAAACACTAAAATAAATATTATTTTTTATGACAAAAGGTCTTGACCATATTCTACCTATAACGTCATACATTTCAAATTACATTTCAATTATTAGTTTTAGTAAATATTTATCATTCATTTATATATGAATCACTATTTGAAGATGAAAAGTTTTCAATATAGTCAACAGTGATTCAAAAAAGGGGAAGAAGAAGAAGAAGGACAGCAGTAACAACAACCCTTTTCTTCTATACACATTAGGTATTGAACATTTTTAATTTTATTTTAACTAACTACTTAACATATCGAATATTCTCTTGTTACTGTTTTTTTTTTTGGTGATGATGATGATGATGATGACGGTGGTGATGATGGCGATGATGATGACGATGGTGATGAATATACTATGTGTGTCATTTCATACGTCATCATTTGGATGAAAGAAAAAAAAAAGAAAAAGGTGAACTCGTAGCCTTTAACTTGACATCTATATATATTATGTAATAGATAAATATTACAATTTCGTATCATTGACGTCATAAAGAGATTATCATATTTGTTTAGTGATTATTCAAGTTATCATAATTAATAGGTTACATATAATATATGACATTTTTTTTCTTTCGAAAGAATCAATTTACCAGTATGAACTCTTAATAATTGGTTGTTATATGGATAAAAGGTTTTTTTTTCGGTTTGCTTATATATATTAGATCTTTATGATATATGTATTTAAAAATAAAATGGTATAAAGTGTTAGGATGGCTCGTTGGCAAACTCAAGAAAGTCTCGAGAAGCCCAGAAAGAGCCGAGGACATTCTGTCCAATCACCACTAAGGGAACATTCTAGAATGTTGACCTGTAGCTCTCCTATTGGTTGAATAAGAAGGTCCCCCTATGTGCCTATTGGTCATCCGAAATGATGATTTACTTTCAGCCAAAAACAATAAATACATGAGATTTTTGTACAATATTTGACACAGTTTTTGGGAATAACATTACTACTTACTAGTCTTCTGTCTTCTTTGATTTTATGACTTGAGAAAGTTCTAGTGTTCGAGTGCTTAAGTATTACGCGACATACTAAGAATCTAAGTTCGAGATATAACATAAAGTTTAAGTGGGAAGTGAAATTATATAGATTTTGCATGTTTGACCATATATATATATTTAGAAGGTAGTATATGAACACTGAGATGCAGGTATATTCAGCTGACGAGTCCCAAATAGGAATGAAACGCTCGGCATGGATTCCACTTCTATCCATTATCCATCTTTGTTTAAAAATCTATCTTCTGTTTTGATAAATATTTTATTAAGGATGTAAATTTATCATGAATGTGAGTCTTTACTTGTTTGGTTTAAAGTTCTTAGCCTGAACAGAAATCTGTTAACATGAAAGACAATATTTTTTAGGTGCTTTATAATTCTGGCTAGATATCAATGTCAAATATCAACTGAAGTTATCTTGGTTATAACTGAACGGTTACGCTGCTTACTTACTTACTCCTGTTACCACAATGGAGCATAGACTGCCGACCAGCAATCTCAAACCTACTCCATCCTGGGTCTTCCTTCCTAGTTCTATCAAATTTTCGTTCATTTTTCTCATTTCTGTTTCCATTCCTCGTCGTACTGTGTTCTTTAGTCTTCCTCTCCTCCCTTGGCCTCCAGGATTCCATGTGAGGGCTTGTCTTGTGATACAGTTGGGTGATTTCCTCAATGTGTGTCCTATTCACTTCCAGCATTTCTTCATGATTTCTTCCTCCACTGGATAGAATCTGGTTTGTTGTCTCCCACAGTAGGTTGTTGCTGATAGTGTCTTGCCAACGGATCCGAAGTATCTTGCGTAGACAACTGTTAATAAACACCTGTATTTTCTGCATGATGGCTTTCGTAGTTCTCCAATTTTCCACTCCATACAGTAGAACTATCTTGACATTTATATTGCAAATAGTGATCTTGGTGTTGTTTGACAACTGTTTTGAGTTTCAGATGTTCTTCAGTTTTAAATATGCTGCGCTGGTTGATTACTAAATATAAGCAAAAATTATTCATATCTATTCAGTATTGATTACAATGCGGTCATTATTCTAAGTGACTAAACGATACACAAGGTAATCGAAAGCGATCGATAATATATCTGGGTTGACATAAGCTTTGCACTGGCTGTCAGTCATCAATATGTCATATCTTTGGTATTGAAAGAACTGAAACTCCTGATGGAATTTGGACCAACCCCACTTTGTAGAATAATCCTAAAAATTACGATTATGCTAGGTAATAACTACTTCCAGTTATTCAATTATATTCAATAAACTGATAAAGTGGTAAACATTTACATAAATTTCTATTCAATATTTCTATCTCCGAATTTGTTACTTACCAAATCTTCTGTTACTTTCAAATCTTTTACAAAATATTTATGCCATACATTTGGATTATTTTGTTTTGCATAATGAATAATTAAATAGGCTATATTTTCTTTATCTTCTGGTAGAGTCCATTCAATGGTTAAAATATATTGAGTTTTCCAATAGACTTGAATATGGAATGGAGGAGGTGGACCTAAAAATGTAGTCAAATTAAAGAATAGAAAATGTTATAAATGAGTGATAAGATGGTGGTTGGAGGTGATTAACAGAAAACCCTGGACCCGGGTTTCGTGCTACTTAGCACTCGTCAGTAAGGTGTACCTGTAATCTTGAGGGAACTGATGCTCCCTGACGGATTCGATCCCGTGTCGCTCAGCATTCGATCAACACTAAGAAGGAATTGACACGCATGATATTGATCATCACCCAGTGATCAATAAATTGTGGTTATAAATTAGTATTCATTACAAATTCTATTAGATTTAAAACTTTGAATGATTCACTTAGTAGTATATGAAAGTCACTGAATTTCATCAGGAACAATGGTTGCCTCAAAAGTACAGGTACACTGCGTTAACAAGTAGTAACCAGCACAAAACTAAGATTCAAATCATATTGATCAATACCTCCAACTATCTAGAGTCTCGATATAATTCAATCGATGTAAAATAACTTAGACTAGTGACCATATTAGAATTTGGTAAAGGAAATCAAATTGACATTAAAAGACTAGATAAACATGACATTGTTCAATACCTAATGATTAATCAGTTGTAAATTTCAGTATTAACCGGTGTCATACCATACAGTTCTTCGAATAATCCAATTATGTCAATGAATTTGACGGTTATAGACATTTAGTTAAAGCCTGAAAAACTTAGTTTTAATGTCTCTTTACGTATTTTAATACCAAAAGAATTTTAGAGTCTTTCAAGGTTCTAAATATACGATTTTATGTAACCAGATGAAAGTTCAGAGCGAAATGCTAGGTGATTATAACTGCCTAAAACATTTCAATTAATTATAGATAGATTATTTCTTATAACTGACAATTAAACATGAAGTTAACAATCGAATCTTTAAGTATAATTTTTTGGTAATTTACATGATGTATTAATTTTAGCTAGATAACCACTAAAAACGAGGATGTGCTGAATCGATGTTTTGTCAGAGTTCGAGGCTCCTTATTAATGTCCATATATATATGTCAGCGTCAGGAGTGGAAGCCAGAACTTTTCAACCAGGCTGAGAGGGATCAACTTCAAAAACATTTAAGTTGACATCCAACAACTTAAGTTTTTAATTTCAGTCAGCTTATGGTATTGCTCAATCGTCATCATTTGTTGATACTCAATTCGTATACAACATAAATCACCACTTTTTACCAACATCAGTTACATGACTATTGTAAACCAAAAACCGTTGCCTAGAAGTATATACACATTTTGAGAATATTCAACACTTTCCAATCACTATCTTATACACATATGGTTAGACGACATTAGATCCTGAAATGACAAAGATTAAATCTAATTCCTGAATTAGTAACTTTATGAATTTTCAACAAACCTCCAAAAAAACTGATTGGATTAAACAATCACCATATTATTATCCCCTTCATTATCTTTTTCAATGTTGTTTTTAAAAAAAAACACATTTACCCTCTGTCATAGTAACAAATATTTTAAATTAACTATTGTGTATTACACATTTATGTCTGTTAATTGGTACATTTCTATGGGATACATTCATTTCTATCATTTGTATTATTACATAATGATAAATAGCATGTTAAAATTTGAAAAAAAAGTCTTTTGCATTTCATAATGGTAATACCATAGTAGGATTTATTTTCATTGTGAATCATTCATTTAATAAAATAATTAATGTAGGTTACAAATGTTCAATTTACGGAATATCTATATAGAGTAGAACAGTATAGAATGGAAGGGATTAAATATAATCAAAATATAGACAATGGAATAATATTACATTCTTATATCTATTCATAGTAATAATTTCATTTATTATTTAAATATTGATAATTGAATGAAACATGTAAAACAAAAGAAAACAAAAAAACATACAGTATGAATAAAATTTCACTTCGTATTGTTTGTTTGAATCTTCTCATTGATGTTTAGGACTGTAACTGGTCAGTCTCTCATTGATGTGCATACTGTGTGTGTTGCCTTGATATAGCCTAAATTCACAAGCATTGTAAGCAAAGATGGATAGTGGCTAGAAGTGGAATCCAGGACACGCTTCTCATCCTATTTGGGACTCGTCAACTGGATGTACATGTATCTCAGGGTTTATGTTCACTCTTGGATTGAGTGGATAACGCAATGGCGTCTAAAGCGAGTTCGAGTTTCAGAGTGAGCATCAACTCTGAGATGCAGGTACATCCAGCTGATGAGTCCCAAATGAGATAAAACGCGCGTCCTGGATTCCACTTCAGTGTTTTAGTTTGTTTTGAGTGAATCATTGATAATTTTATTATTTAAAGCATTAATTTATTCTAGTCATTTGAATTAATAAAATAGAAAACGTAATTATATTTAATTTCGTAGAATTTATCTTAGTGAGTAGATGTGACCAGTGTAGCCAAACTGTGTCTGTTGTGAGGCAGTGACTCATTGAAGACAGTGGTGGATGGTGGTGCAATTTCTTGAATTGGTTGAAGTTAGACACTAACACCATTGAATGTTGGCTCAGTGGTCTAAAGGTCAGGCTTTCGAACGTGAGACCGATGGACCTGAGTTCCAATCCAACATGCGGGGTCGTGGAGTCCCATACTAGAAAAAAAAACGGCTGTCCAGTGTTTCCAAGTTTTCCATGTAAGTCTAGCTGTAATCGATTCATCAATTCAACCATTACAACTAATTACTTATTACAATATGTTAATTTGTAAAAAGGATTTTAAATATTTAGACAATGTTGGTACTGGTAAATGGTAAATTGTATTTCTAAATGTGCAGAGATATCTCACTAGACAGCTTTTAAGAAACATTGATCAATTCATAATTTTCATAGTTGAAATCCGTGGATGCGCATTTCTGAGGAGTCTCACAATAGGACGAAACGGCCGTTCAGTGCTTCCAGGTTTTTAATGGTGGTCTAGCTTCAATTGACTCATGATTTCAACTATGAAAATACTGAAATCTCCACTAAACCCCTTCCAATTCATAATTATGAATTGGGACATAATTTATTGTAAATATGCAAATAATTTAGTTGTTTAATATAGATCAGAAAATTTTGGTTACAGCTTGAACTAGTTTGAGGATTTAAAGTACACTCTGTGATTCTTAAGAAAAAACGTTCTAGAAATTGAGATGTAGCCAGCAAAGGAAGTCAAACAGATACTCAACTTCTGATACTATTCACTATTGTGAATCCTTTTCTGTTATTGATTTCTATTGCGAAGTACATAGTGAGTGAACCATTTGTGTTTCTGTTGAACAAGCTATTATCTACCTTACAATCTAGCTCCATAATGTTTGTTGTGAATTTTATATATCGACTGATAATCCAGTCCAGTAGTATCGTATTTTGTGTTCCAAAAAACTCTTCTTACGTAATTCTGTTACAATAGAAACTCAAGAAAACATGATCTGATTGTTAAATTTATATCATCTAATGACGAATTTGGTTCTGGAGCAAACTAGTCTGATTATCAACTACATACCATTCTTTTGTTGACAATAATCAATCAGTCCTAAATGAAATTTACTACATTTTGATCATCTTATTTATATATTAAGTATGTTTTTAAACGGAGTGTACATGCTTAATCGAAAACAAGACATGATCTGAGAAAACAAGATGTTACTAAAACCTTCGTTCAAAACTAACAATTTGGGGAAACCCCAATGGATCCCATCCCCGTCGCCAGTGATATAACGTGTGATTGCGCACGTGCTCTGTTTGATATATGAACATGCTGATTCCCACCAACGAGAGAGCAGTGATTTATCGATCGCCCTATGATACATAAAAGCCACGTGAGCAGTGTTGAGTATTTATCAGTCCTGCTTTCTGCCTAGCCCAGCCAGTTAAGCCCAGAACACCAATAACAGCCTCTGTAATATGAATCATTATTCACAAACATACTGGGTTTATATATCAATCAAACAAACCACATCGTACCATAAAATAGAAAATAACATTTGTACAATATTTGGCAAAATGTGGCTGTGAATAGGGGGAACAGTAATCAATAGACTGGGCGTAACTGAAGAATGGTAAATCGTATAATAATAGTTCACAGGTCAAAGTAAAGCTTATGATAAGAGGAACACGAATACGAATATTTTAGTTACTTAACAATTATACAGTAGGAAATATGCATATCACATTGGTCCATAAATAGTCCTCAAAGTTGCCATTCATAATTCTCCACAGGATATAACACTGTCAATGAAAATTCACTTGGTATTGTTTGTTTGAATCTCCCCAATGATGCTTAGGACTGCAATTGATCAGTTTATTATTGGCATATGTACATACTGTGCATATCGCCTCGATATAGTTTTAATTAACAAGCGAACGGTACTGGGTTCGAGTCCCAGAGGGAACATCAACTCTGAGATGCAGGTATATTCAGCTGGCCAGTCCCAAACAAGACGAGAAGCGCGTCAAACTGGATTCCACTGCTAGCTACTATCCATCTTTGCTTATAATATTAGTGAAAATGCTATTAAATATTCTGACAGTAATAGTCAAGCTAACAAACCTGGTCATTGATTAAAACTTATTGTGGGTAGCGAAAAATGAATTTAACGAAAGATGTAATTTAGCGATATGTTTTTTTACATTCTTTTTATTAAATTGACCTACCTTTCTGATTTATAAGAAATTGAATACGATCACTCCAAGGTCCTGGACCAGCCTTAGTCCAAGCACGTACTAAACAAGCATGTGTTGCTGATGGCAGATTATATAATTTTAAAGTTTGTTCTGTTATAGTTTTCAATTCATCATGATTTTCTTCTTCACCAACAATATAACATCGAACTTGATATTTTGTTATAATACCATTACGATATAATAATCTTGGTGGTTCCCAAGCTAATTGTACAGATGTTTGATCGCCTCCAATGACACGAAAGTTACTTGGAGCATCTGAAGGAGCTAAATCAAAGAATGATTCATTAAATAATGACTTTTTTGTGAAGTTTTAAAAAAGTTGATATGTAGATTAAATGGAAGTCGTAGAACTATTTTGTTTTCATTCTGAATTCCTTAACAATGCGATATCATAAGTCTACACGGGTTCATATCTTGAACTTCACGTGCTTGGGTTGAGAGCAATAACTTTAAGTCATTAAATATAGTTTCAATATTTAACCCATTTGAAATTGATTGTTTTCTTTATATAGTATGAACTTTATCCAATATAATAGACTTCTTCAATTCCATCTTTTAGTGAGAATATTGGGAAATTTATCTTGATTAGTCAATGATTGTTTACTTTCAAACTGTTCTACCGTGAATAACAAGATGCAGAAAGCATAACCAAATCTATAGAAATGTGAGGATGGTCCACAGGTGAAGTAAAGGAAGTTCTAAGAAGCCTAGAAGGAGCCGGACATATTCTATCCAATCATCTTTGGGAAGAATATTCCAGAATCACTGCATGTAGCTTCCCTATTGGACAATGCTTAAAACTCCCTGTTTGCCGATTGGATAACTATAATGATTATTTTGTTTCTACTAAATACCATAAACACCTGACAATTGTGTACCGTAATCGACACTGTTTGGAATAACAATCCTTTTACTTGTCTTCTGTCTTCTGATTTGTGACTTGGGAGGGTTCTGGCGTTTGAGTGTTCAAGTATCAAGCGACAGACTAAGAATTCTAAGTTCGAGATATAACAAGAAACAAGACATCAGGAGTTGTACTCTCATTATGAATTGTTCGAGAGGGAGAGAGAGTTCACCTCCGTCGAGATTGATGTAATTGTAAACCAGAAGATTGAATGACGATTGTGTAATATCGTAAATTTATTGAAAGTAGAAATGTAAACTACTACGTGTTATCTCAGGGGTTTAAAAACTTAATATAAAATAGTGGACCTGAAATTTATGTATTCAATTGCTACGTGAAGTTAGGTTCAAGCACTACTGAGAAGTCCTACTTTAGGATGGAATAATATGAAAGCGATCCAATACTTACTAGATTTGAATGATGGTTTAATTAAGATCAATTTATGATGAAAATTACAGAAAGTAATGATTGTATTTTTAAAACAAACCAGCTAAAGTAACTTTTTCTAATTGTTGAGGCTATTATAACGTTGTAAAATGAAAAAATACAAACATTTCTCATTCATTGTCTAATCATTTTGATGGAGTTCCGTTCTCTGAGATGGATGGTTTGGTCGTGGAGCTTTCATCGTCTTTCTGCTGATGATGTCGTTCAAACGATGATGAAAGCTTCACGACCAAACCATCCAGCTCAGAGAACAAAACTCTATCAAAATCATCCATCTGAGCTATAAACCATGTTGTGTTATGATATATTGTGGTGTGGATTACTTATATCCACATAAGCAGTATATAACGATGGTCGAGCATTGAATGTATTTCAGTAGAAGATCGATAAGGAAAGAACGGGAATGAAACGTAATTGATATGAAAATGCATGAACAATAATAATCTGAGACGATGGATTGATACTTGCAGAAGGAACGGTCAAGATTAAGACAATTAATTAATAGTTTGCAAATTACCTATTTACTATATGGTTCTCAAACTTTACTGAGTTATTCTGTAATTTCGTGACTAAATGCGGTCGATTGTCCTTACTCGTCTTCTTGTTCACTACATTATGAACGATTCACTTTCATTCAACTTTCATCATTTTCTGTTGATGAATAAAATCATTTGTTAATACTTCAAACAATATAATATCTAATGACTAGTACTGATACATTTGGCCTCGTGGTATAGCGGTGAGCACTTCGGACTTTGAATCCGGCAACCTGAGTTCGAATCTCGGCGAGGCCTCATGATGTGGGCACTTTTGAAACTCATTTGGACTATGAATACCATCTGAATATAAATATAACATATTCATTATATTGAATGAGTCTAATGTAATTAATCGCAGTTCTATTTTTTATCAACTGAATAATTATTTTGTAATCAAGTAACATCAATGATTAGATAAATATGATATCAGTCACCACTTTATGAACAATCAATGCCTGACAATCGATCAACCGTTACTTTAATAATTCAGTTTGAAAGTTTCAAATTCAGAAGATGGCAAATCCATGTTTACATTCCACAGAGAGTACTAGTACCCTAGAGATTGTAGATATGTCTTGTCCAAGAACTACATGGTTTCTTGTTGAATACCTTTAACTACGTAAAATCAAAGTATAGTAATGACAATATCGAATGATTTAAACTAATAGTCACATCGTGAATTTATCGTCTTGATTAGCTTAGGATTAACGACTAGACAAATTTGACATTGATCACTACTCGATGATCATTAAATATGCATCAAATGAATGTGTTTTCTACATTATTACCAGTGTTCCCTTAACCTAATACATCGATGGGAAGATTCAAACAAACGATACTAAATGAATATAAACTTCACCCCATCGCACAAGCAAGTGGCTATCAGGACTCAGTAGCTGAGTGGATAACGCGATGGCGTTTGAAGCGAGGGTATTGGGTTCGAGTCCCAAAGCGAACATCAACTCTGAGATGCAGGTACATCCAGCTGACGAGTCCCAAATAGGACGAAACGCTCGTCAAACTGGATTCCACTGCTAGTCACTATCCATCTCTGCTTACCATGCTTGTGAATCAAGGCTATATCGAGGCAATACGCACAGTATTCACATATACCAATTAGAGACTGACCAGTTGCAATCCTAACACATTGATGGGAAGATTCAAAAAAACAATACTAAATGAATTTCATGGCTTAGTCCAACGTCTTCATTATAGAAGCTTCATATTGTTGATTTTGAAGACAGAGATTATATACCTACTCAAGTTTATAGTTTTACAATGATGAATTAGTATGACAAGTCTAAACAAACTTGATATGAATTGATATAGTGTAGTGAACAAAACAATAGTTGGGAACAATCGAATGTATTTAAGCACAAATCACAGACTATCTCACTAAATTCTGATAACCATACAGCAAACGGTTAATTTGCAAAATAACAACCAATTGTCTCAATCTTAAATGTTCCTTCTGCAAATATCAGTCCGTCTTCTCTGATTTCATTGTTCATACATTTTCATACCGATTGCGCATCATTCCTATTCGTTCCTTATTGATCTTCTGCCAAAATACATTCTATGTTTGACCATCACCATATACTACTTATATGGATATAAGTAGACCATACTACAATAGAGTCGTATAATTATCTAATTGTCAAATGTATCATTTTGATCAGTTAATTATTTTCCACTTATTCATAGAAACTATTAACTCCTACCAATGTACATTTTTATACTCATACGGTTGTCTATGTATCTTCTTAACTGATTTATTACACTGAAAACTTAATGGACTAAATAAACCTACGCAACAATTTGTACAATACTATTTATTTAATTATTCTGGTTAAGTTGAATACTTAAGTCACCAAGCCTACTGTAGGATTGTTATTACCCTGTCTCATATTATTCTGTATACATCCCAGTATGTTTCACAAAACAATAATCAAGGGATTTATTTTAAACATTCACTGTCAAGCAATAAATGCAGACTTGATTGTGATTGATGAATCTTAGATGCTGATAACCATTATTTACACAGGTAGTTGTTAGTCACTGAAAAAGTTTAGGATAGAACAGCCATCGGTTTTTATTTATGTAATGATTTACACATTTCATCCTGTCTTCAAGCAGTCATCGCCCTTATCGTTCAAATCCTAACCAGGTAGTCTATACCTAACAAATATGGCTCTGGTCAACAGTAAATGACTTTACAGAATAATATCAAGCTTTAGTTCTACCGGGCATACCTTTCTTTCAACAAATCTCGATGTTTATTTTATTTTATAGTTGACCTCATGAGTCAGTTGAAACTAGACCACCATAGGAAACCTGGAAGCGCTAGACAGCCGTTTTGTCTTATTGTGAGACTCCTCAGTAGTGCGCATCCACATTGATATCGTTGGATGCCGATCGGCTCAGTGGTTTAGAGATTAAGCGCTTGCGCGCGAGACTTATAGGTCTAGGGTTGGAATCTCACGAGGTGAGATTGTGGATTTGCACTGCTGAGAAGTCCCACAATAGGACGAAACGGCTGTCCAATACTTCCAGGTTTTCAATGGTGATCTAGCTACAAATGACTCGTGAATTAAACCATAAAATTACTTAAATCTCCAAGAAACTCCTTCTGATTATTCTATTTTTTCAAAATTTAACTACGAATTCCTCTTTTCTATTCCATATTGAACTAGAACTAAATATTTCACATATTTTTCAAGTTCAAATTATTTATACATTATCTTTCTAAGTCTATTTAACTTGTACATTGAAAAGGTTCCTTGTAAATTGAACATACATGAACAACATATGTAAATAAATTTCTATTTTAATTTGGTTCTATTCGGCTTGTATTTTTGCTTTGAATCTGTTTTTTCCGAGTTATTTTTGATATATATATATGTATATATATTCATAGTTGAAAGCGTGAGTTATTTGAAGCTAGATAACCATGGAAAATGTGGGAGCACTGGACGGCTGTTTCGTCTTAGTATGGAACCCCTCAAGAGCCATAATCAACGATCCTGCAAGTAGGCTTCGAATCCCGAACCTTCGGACTCGGGTGAGAATGCTCAACCTCTAGACCACTGATTCTGCATGCAACGGTGTGAATATCTAACTTCAACCAATCCATGACACTGTACGACCGTTCATCATTGTCTTCAGTGAGTCACTGCCTCACAACAGACACGGTTTGGATACACTGGTGACGGCTTCTCACTAGGATTCTTAGTGCCTAAAGTCTAGAAGTTATGCGTTCGCTCGCGAGATTAAAGATCCTGGGTTCGAGTCACATAATTGACTCATGAATTCAACTATTAAATTACTAGAACCTCTACAAAACCCCCTTTCTGATATTATAGATTTGTTGTATATTAGTCGTTGACAAGGTATAAATTATTTTCTGTAAGATCAATTGGAAAAAAATGTTCAAATGAAAAAGTTTATTAAATTTGGATAGTGTTATATGCTGATGAAGACATAAGTACAGGTAACTCCCAGGACCTATTAATGAACTATTATTCTATATATATTCTTATTCTTTAACTATTGAGTAATTAGATTGTGCACTATATTTATCTTATTATAAGCTTCATTTTGACCTATGAATTATTACTTTACGATTTACCGTTCCCAAATTATGTTCAGTTTATTGATTACTGTCTCCCACGTTCACAGCCACATTTGGCTTGATCTTGTACAAATATTATTTTCTATTTTATGGTGTAATGTGGTCTGTTTGTCTGGTATATAAACCGCGTATGCTTGAAATAAATGATTCGTGTAGATTCGCATAGCTGAAGCTGTAATTGATGTTCTGGACTCAATTGGAAGGACTAGGCGGACAAGGCACCAATAAAGACGCTAGACTGCACATACTGGTCGAACGTCATTGATTTGGCACAGTGTTAAGATTAGACAAATTGTATTTCGATTAGTGGATAATTCACGTGATAAAAAGCCGGACATAAATTCATAACGAATCGGCATACGGTCTATATTTTTTATAAAGTCATAACAGATAGTAGCTAAAAATAGAATCCATATCATACATTTCATCATATTTAAAACTCTCCAATCAGATATGCCTCCATTTAAATGGCGGCCTGTTTAAACATCTGGGCTACCTGTTCCTGTCATCTAGATATTTCAACAAGTTATCTAATTTTGTTTGTTTTAATACATCATTATGGCTATTAATCACACAACCTATTCAGGTGCTTTTCTGAAAAGTGTAAGACCTTTCACTGCAAAGGTTATAGAAGGCCTAATTAGAGATATCGTGTTTGCTGGCAATATGCAGCGAGAAGAATGTACATTATTCAGATATCGATTGACTGGGCTGCTAACTTCTAACTGGCGATCACTCAATATTTATCGTCAGGAAGGACGAAGAAGTAAGAAACGGAAACTTGTTGAAGTACTTTATGCTGAGAATTCCATATTGTACCAAAAATATAATATTGAATAAAGTTAATAATAAATAAATAATTTCATTGTTAAGATTCATACCAAGTTTCCAATTCAATCTATGATCAATTTCAGTTCTTAACATCAACAAGTGAAAAAAAACTACAAATCATCATCTATAAAAATCATCTTTGTTCAACAAGATGTCAACCCTCTGAATGCAGTAACCTAATGGATAACACTGTGAAGTGTGCAGTTAAACATACTATGTTCGAGTCCTAATATAAACAACATTAACTCTACAATACAGTTACATCAAGATGATTAGTCCCAAAATAGTAAACATAAATAAATATCCATTGTACATTTCACTGTTAGTTACTATCCAACTATAATGGAATATTACATTGGTAACAAAGTGAAAAACCCTGACTTTTTCTCTTTTTTTGACCACCCAGTTACAATAAAGATATATGATTTCTAATTTTTTTTAAAAAAATCCAATAATCTATATAAATTAAAATATAATTGAATTAAGTAGTATGTTTATGAATGATTTCACACATTAAATTAAAATCTTGTCAAAAAAAAGAAAAAAAACGAGAAAAAAAGAAAGAAAAAGAAAAAAAATAAAGAAAAAAGACATTTGACTTTCACAAACCTTTATTCAATTAGTAATAAAAAAGAGAATAATACTAATTAACTAATGTAAAGTAAAAGAAAAAAAGAAGAAAAAAGAAAAAAAAATTTGAAAATGGTGGGTGGTGTCCTTGTTTTTTTTAATTTTTAATTAAATATTGAATTTATTTGTCAAAGATGTTATTGGTTTAATTTAGGTTTGTTACTTTTCTAATGATTATTACTGAGATATAAGAAAATTGATAAGAGACTAATATACCTATACAATTATATATAAATATATAATATAAACCTCTTTTAACTTAAGGAAATATGAAGATATAAAGTAATTGCTTTCTATAAATCTCATTATATAAGCATGTATATTCTAATGAGCAAACATACTATTTTATAGTTGAAATCATGAGTCTATTGAAGCTAGACCATCATGGAAAGCCTGGAAGCACTGGACGGCTGTTTTGTCTTATTGTAAGGCTCCTCAGAAGTGCGTATCCACGATCTCGACTCACGAGATTCAAACCAATGACCTATCGGTGTCGCACTCGAGCGCTTAACCTCTAGACAACTGAGCCGGCATTCGGCGGTGGTAATGTCTAACTTCAACCAATCTACGAAATTGAGCAACCGTTCATCATTTGTCTTGATATCTGCCAACAGACCTGGTTGAACTCCACTGGTCACTGCTTCTCACTAGAACTCCAGGAAATATCTCTTGAAGCCTGTCAATAGTGAGATTGATAGGTCCTAGGTTCGAATCTCGCAAGGCGGGATCGTGGATATGCACTGCTGAGGAGCCCCACAATAAGACGAAATGGCTTTCCAGGTTTTCCATGGTGGTTCTAGTTTCAATCGACATATGATTTCAGCTACAAATTACTAAAATCGCCACAAAAACCCCTTCTGATATTATTTTGCATTTCATAAGTCTTTATTTATAAGAAAAAGGAAATGAACTTTTAAATGGTAATGAGAAATATTTTATAGACTGTGTGTAGTTGATATATTACTAGTTGAGTAGTTTGAAAGTAGTTTCTTACATAAGCTGATATCAAAGACAAAAGACTGAAAACCAAATAGTATTCGACAGCTATTATTTTTGAGTTTACGGTACTTAAATACTGCCCACTCATAAACATGTAGACAATTGGACATAAGTAACTGATTGATTTTAAGAGTTGTCAAATTTTTACATTCAGACTTAGTTCAGTATGAACAACTATAATTGTTGACAGTTATTTCATAGTTTAAAATGTATCCTCAAAGATCGTTTAGAGACATTGTAGACACTTAATGACCGGTCATACACATTAAAAGTTCATTAAAATATAAAGTAATGTTCTTGTGTTTTATATGAATCTCAATTATTTTAACCGTGTACATTCGTGTCTGTTGTGGTGAGGTGGACAATTAAATTGAAATTAGACACTTCCGCATTAAAAAGCTCTCTTGTTCCAACCATATACATCTGAAGAAATGGATTGTGGTTAGTACTTGAATCCAGAACATGCATTTAGTCCTATTTGCTAGTCGTCAGCTGGCTGCACCTGAATGCTAAAGTTGATGTTCACTGCAGGACTGGAATCCGTCGCGTTAGATGCTTAGTTACTGAGTCCAGATGAACACTAGCTTGTCCGACGGGGTAAAATTTAGTTCATTTGTGTATCGGTTGTTTGAATCTTCCCATTGATGTTTAGGGATGCAATTGATCAGTATCTTATTGGAATATGTACATCCTGTGCCGACTGCCTAGATATCGCCTTCAGTCACATGCATGATAATCAGTGTCTTGGTGTGGACATCAACTTTGAGATGCAGGTATACCCAGCTAACTAGTCCCAAGTAAGACGGAATGAGCTTCCTGGATTCCTGTGGTAACCACCATCTATCTCTGATTATGGTGTAATCGATTCGATGGTCAGAATAATTTGTTAGGAATTATATTTGAGAGAGTTACTTTTCGACCTTCATTAATTACTTTATAAAAATCTAGAATGTTACATCTTGAAAGAATATGATTAAAAATGTTTTTTAAACCATGGTAAAACAAATGCTGAACAAATAAAGTTAAATATTTTATAGTTTGCATTCCATGCTGACTTTAGTTAAGTAACAATTGAAAATCAAAAATTACTCAACAGCTGTTTCCTCCCAAGAAGGGACTTAGCAATACACATACATGAAAGCGCCATAGATCGAATACCAAAACCACAGGGATCGGGTCGAGTGCCAGAAATTCAGATAAGTGTGTCAAGATTCGATGGTTTACACTTCTTATTTCAATCAATTCGCGCTCTTGCACTACAATCATTCACGGTTATTGGCAATATTCATTCCATTCCCGACGCAATTGTCCACCACATGTCGTGGTATCTTCCAAGAAGTCGAGAAATTACATCTCGATTTTGTCAGTAGTGTTACATCATTGGGTCCTAGCTTAGCAATTTAAGGCCTTAATAAAATCTAAAATTCATCAGTGGAATCTTGAGTTCACACTATTGAAGAGTCATATACTAGTATAAAATGGTTATCCAGTAACTCTTAGTTTTTAATAGTTATCTAAACAAGCTCACTTCATGACGTAAGCTACAAAATTATCACCAAATCAACAGTAATTTCTTACAGACTATTTAAAAAATGTAGCAAACATTTACCTGATTCAGGTGTAGCTATCCGACTAATTGCATCTCGACCATATCCATTTTCAGTAATTCCAGCTACAGAAACTTCATAAATTACACCGAACACTGTATGAATAAGAGTTAAAATATACAAAAAATAATGTATTATGTAAATCTTGATTAGTTTCAGTGTTACATACAAAAAGGGTAACAAAATAATTTTAAGGGAGATCGATTGAAAATAATAACAATAAGAGGATTCCTTTTCTGGGGGGGGAAATTTTCTTTTATTATAAATTTCATTAATTATATACTTAAGACTACGAAAAAAAATGGTATGCCAACCCTAGAATTGATTACATTCCACAATTATTTATTTCTAAGAGGGGGGGGGAGATCAGCTACAATTAAAATGGATTGATCAGAGATCAATGAAAAAAAAATCATGTTTGTCTAGTTCATCAGTTCTTATTGAATTTAGTTGATTAAGTTGAAATTAAGTCACTGGTTTACGTTTTTCCACAAACAGCCCTGGACCTAAGTTTCATGCTAGTCGATATTCATCTACAAGATATAACTGTAATATCAAAGTAATGTATACTTCCTTTTGAATTTAGACTCGCTTTATTTAGCTTCAGTGTAAGACATTACCATGGAACTATTCTATTTGCAAGTGACATAATGTAGGACTGAGACAAGCCTAGGTTCCAAGTTTACTGTCAATTATCTCAAACCACCTATTCGAATTCTAATTTTTATCACTTCTTGGATGAATACCGTATATAATGCATAATCAAGTTACGGAATAATACTTTTACATTTTAAGTGTTTAATGTTGGGATATAGTCTATGTGAACAAACAGCACGACGAGGTGTACGTAAGTTAAGCTGATTAGCCATACTTACGATGAATTTTACTGCTGATTACTGTCAATAAATAAAAATCAATAAGAATTCTTCTTAATCGTTATATACGTATGTATATGGAAGAGACAGTGGCTATCAGGTTGACATATTGTTTGCTGAATACAACCTTCCAATCCATTCATTTTAAAAACGTCAGCCAACCATATCGATAAAGCCTAATCAAGTCAGTAAAATATATAAAACCACAAATAATCATTTATTTATTCAATTATCAAAAATTATTTCAGCTAAACGTGCATAAGTGAGCCAAAAATCGATTACGATTACCTGTCAGATTGAGATCAGAAAATCAGTAATTCCTGACAATGTCCATTTCCGTAGTTATCACTTTCATAAGCTGATCCTTTGTGTTTTCCCGATTACATTTATCTTTATCTAGCCCACTTTTATGCAGGCCAGCACCACACATGCGGTCAGATAGTTACTTGAGATGCATAATACAAAGATTACCCACCATAGTTGACAAAAGTTTACAACCTTATCAACTAATTTAAATCACCACTTTTTATGTTGCATATTAGGAAGCATCGACAACATTGTGTATCGTTCACTACAGCCTTTTCATTAAAACATAAATGACCATTGTAAGCAAAGATGGATAGTGACCAGCAGTGGAATCCAGTTTGACGCGCGTTTCGTCCTATTTGGGACTCGTTAGCTAGATGTACCTGCATCTCAGAGTTGATGTCCACTCTGGGACTCGAACCCAGTACCGTTCGCTTCAAACGCCATCACGTTATCACCCCAGCTACTGAGTCCTGATAGCCACTTGCTTGTTCAGTGGGGTGAAGCTTAAATTCACTTAGTATTGTTTGTTTGAATCTTCCCATTGATGTGTTAGGACTGCAACTGGTCAGTCTCTAATTGGCATATGTGCATACTGTGAGTATTGCGTATTAGAGACTGACCAGTTTCAGTCCTAACACATCAATGGGAAGATTCAAACAAACAATACTAAATGAATATAAATGATCATGTCTATATAAGCGTTAATGAAACTGTAACATAACCTTCTGAATATTCTCATGTTATTGTTCAAATCACCCACATTATCCTGTTTTAATAACCATTTAATACATTTCTCAATGGGCTTTCATATCAGTAATAACCGTTTGATCTACCCAAAAGTCTACTTGAATGAAATAAAACAAACTGACAATTGTGGTGGTCCTTTATTTCCATCTGTTCTATATAGTCCACTCCTTACCATTAAAAAAGTCCTTTGTGAAACTTGCTAGTTAATGAATGGATAAGTAGTTATAATATTTGTATATTTTGTGATAAAATGCTTCTATTACAATGAACGTCAATGTAAACAAAAGAAAATATCTAGTTCATACCACTAATCAATACATTCCCTTATTTCATTATAGTTTGCATAAAAGGGTTTAACCCTTGATTATGTAGAAGATCTAATGGTCAAAAGTTTGCCACCATATCTGTAGGTCCTGATCTCTATCTCTGGCGGTGTTTTGAGTTCACACTACTGAGGAGACTCATACAAGGATAAAGTAACCGGCCAAAAGCTATTTGGTTTTTAATCATACCCCGACTGAAATCAGTCTGTGACTAATATAACATGCAAATTAGTTTCATTATCATTAAGTATTCTACCATATAGTGCATACGTTCTAAAGTTAGGTGTTCAATCATTTTAGCAGTTCAGTTATATAAACCACATTATGAATTAATTGAAGTTGAAAACTTGAACTATTGGATCATAACCAAGTGGTCTAAAGGTTAGATGCTAACGGCAAAATCCGAAAATTACGAGTTTCAGCACAAAAGAGATAGTAAATATACATTCCTTAGCCATCTCATAAAATTCGAACAAAACAGTTGGGCAGTGACATAAATCATCTACAAACCAAATTATATAAATATATCGACCATAATAATTTAGAATACTTTAATTATATGCATATGCATATGTATACACTACTTATGTCGACAGACATAAGTAGTATGTATCATCAATCAAACGTGGAAAATGTAGCGGCAGAAGGCTACGAAGGTTAACTTGAAGAGGACAAGAACTGAATTAGAAAGGAATTGTGAATTGTAAGAATTATACAGAATGTGAAAAACAAATGATGGAAATCTGCAAATGGAATAATAAATGTATGATTCTTATATTTTGGCAAGATATTCTGTAATTTTTTGTTAGAATTCAGTTGGTTATCCCCAACAGCTTTTTCATCCACTACACTACTGACGGGTATTCTATGCTACAACTGACCTTTTGAACATATCTTATCGATCGTCATGGAACTAACTAAGATTGTACTCAATAATATTTTCTACATTATATCTATATATCTGTGGAATTAAAACTGTGAACAGCTGGATTCTAGCTCATTTAGTACAAACTGGTCATGCAATCAACATAAAGCAATCATTCACAATGATATACCATGTTTGCAGCAATTTGATTAAATCTGTCAGATTAAGAATCGTGCAGACGTCTGAAACAATAGCTATTCAGATCAAAATGTCGGAGTTTTGACTTCAGAATAGATATGTTCAACAGTTCCCTTCACATTGGCCAACTTCTGGCCTAGTTAGTTAACAATCATTTTAATGATATGGTGATATAATCTGATTAATGATGATGCAACCTTCCTTGTTGGATTCCCAAAGTTTAAGATAATCTTAATCACACATATTATTATTATCACTATTGTTATCGTTATTATTATAACACTTGCAAACCCATGGAGAAATTTATTCAGTATCCATCCTTATTAACTAAGCTTATTCAAGTCAACACTTCATAATGGTTATTCCAACGTTAGAGATTTGATTTTATATTATGTTACAAACAATTAACTCAAGGATAGTTTTCTTAATGAGCTGACAATATTTAATGAACCAGAAGGGATTGAACAATGGTTTCTTACTACTTAATGGTATTTCAAACGTACCAACACCTCACTGTGTACAGGAGACACTAGGTAACTCACTAATTCATTGGATAATAGTTGCTTGATCTTGCGAATCAACCAAAGTTAGGGATATAAAGCATTGGATATTAACTCAGTGGACAGGAAGTTAAACCATTTCTCCAAGGTCTCATAGTGTTAGGTTCAGTTTTCGATGCAGTCATGAATACTAACGTAACACAGTTATCGGATTCCTTTCAATGGTTTCTAGTTAAAATCAGTGCATATTATAAACTACGAAATATCGAATCATTTATTCGGATGTAAACCATATTTGAGATTTAAATGACAATTATAATGAACTTTCTTTGTCTCATAACAACAAGCGACTTTGTTTTCTAGAGTCAGACAAAGTTAGGACTAACAAATATGTGAAAAACAGGTAAGTAAACAAACAATTATTTACTTTTCTCTGTATAAAGTTGTGGAGATTGTTAAGTTTTTGATAGAGATGATGAATCGATAAATGTTATACCACCAAAAAAAAAACAACCTAGAAGCCGACTTAATGGTCTAGAGGTTAAGCATTCGTTTGCAAGACCGAGGGTCCTAGATTCGAATCTCGCGTGCGGGATCGTAGACGCCCTCTAGTGAGTCCCATATTAGGATAAAACAACCGTCCAGTGCTTCCAGATTCTCAATGGTGGTCTAACATTTTATCGATTCATGATCTCAATCCAAAAGTTACTGATTACTTTTAATAGCTTTTTTGTGTTAATCCGACTAATAAACACAGTTTATTTAAGTTTTCTTCCGTGAAATACCATGTTCATCCGATCTGTCCATACAGATTACATGAATTGATAGCTTAACAATAAAAATGACAACAACCTTTTATCACAGTTAACCTTAAGACTGTTCTGACATTCCTAACAGTAATAAGTTTATTTTAATATTATACATTGATTTTATAATTTTTCACTATTCACTAACTTCAGTTAAACAATCATTGGAAACCAAGAAGGTATTGCAAAGTTGTTCCGTTTTAGTATGAGATATTTTTAGTATTGATCAATGAGCCAGAAAGAGATCAAATACAATGACTTCTGATTCTATAAATGTTTTGTAATGTAAGTTACAAAGTGAATAGTTATCACAAACCTGTTATACAGGTGAAGGTCAGTGCCTGTTACTCCGAATGGAGCATAGGCCGCCGACTAGCATTCTCCAACCCACTCTATCCTGGGCTTTTCTTTCTAATTCTATCCAAATTTTGTTCATTCTTCTCATGTCTGTCTCCATTTATCGGCGTAACGTGTTCTTTGATCTTTCTCTTTTCCTTATTTTCTTATTTCTACAGCAGTTTAGATGACTCTCCCAGTTTCCCAGATTGTCTGAACGTACCATGTACCTATAAAAATTGTTGCTCTGGTTGTTAGAAGGGGCATCAGCCTTGTGACTACCGAAGAATCACGGCCTTCATCCTGAGGCGTCATAATACTTCCTTCAACTCCGAGGGCAGAGTTAAAATGGTTTTAATAATTTTTTCGAGTTAGCGTTTTTTAGCGAGTTAGTTTTCTACGGAACGGGGTTGCTAACGCCATGTCCAACCTTCCTCCTTTATCTGGGCTTGAGATTGGCAGTAACGGAGTTTTATACTAAATATAACCGTATCGTAAATAGAAAATAGCTTAGACATTAAAAGAAATAGTATTCTTGTTTCTAATACGCTTTTACAAACAGTATCAATTAAGGAAGGAGATTATATTGCTTACTAAAGATATCGTAATGAACGAGAACACAAGTGGGGTCAGTCGAATGTAATTTAGCTTAAAATTACTGAGTCCCTTAGGAAAATCTGAGAACCATACAGTAAATACTTTATTTGCAAAGTGTCAATAAATTGTCTCAAACGTGACTATTCCTTCATTTCCACAGTAATCATTCACTATTCTCATTCTTCTTTCTTCTATTTTCTTAACCTTCTACTACTAGGTATTTTACTTTCCATTGATGATACATCTGTCAATATCAGTAGCACACACCACAATATCAGAATCTAAATGTTTAAACTCACTCATTATTTTTTAAATAAACATGCTGTGGATGCGCACTGTTGAGAAGTCTCACAATAGAACGAAGCAGCCGTCCAGTACTTTCAGGTTTTCTATAATGATCTAGCTTCAAGTAACACATGATCTTAACCATTAAAAAATATACTGTTGTCAATTTTGTGTTATACTCTTATGAACTCAGTTTATTAACACTCAGCTAGTTAACATTTTATCTTATTGTCATTACTTTCTTTCAGAGAGATCAATTTGGAAATCTGTTTTTCTTTTTAGTTATGTAGTGAACAGAACATTAGTTGGGGACAATTGAATGTATTTAAGCAAAAATTACAGACTATCTCAGTAAATTCCGATAACCAAACAATGAATAGTCAATTTGCAAATTAACAACCAATTGTTTCAATCTTCACTGTTTCTTCTCTTATTTCATTGCTCATGCATTTTCCAAACGATTGCGCTTCATTTCAGTTCTTTCCTCATCGATCTTCTGCCAAAATACATTCTACGTCTGACCCACACCACATACTACTTTTATAGATATGAGCAGACCACACCACAGTTATCTCCTTCTTAACTAGACTTTATCTAATTTACTCTACCAGTTTATACCTATAATGTATAGTTGTAATTCTATGATAACAAGTTTTCATTTGTAGAGATCATGTATTCATTACCTTTTTTGAGATCATAAATAATCAGTATTATGAAGGGTTTCAAAGAGTTCGTTCATCTTCATTTTAAATCATCGATTATTTTGACTATTTTATTCTAATAAACTAGATCTCTAGCTTTTGACTGTCTAAATATTTTTTCTGTGTTCATTATTGTTTAATTAGTTGTTTTTACCAGTAAACAATGTAGTCTACTAACGTTCTCTTATTAAAAAATATATACAGTTATCTTTTTAAAATCCTAGTGCTGAAGTTATAAACAAATACAGACGAAGACAACTAATGTAGCAGCAGCCTCCGCATCAGTAGGCTTTATTATACACAAAAGAAAAGGCAAGATTATCAAATACAACACGGAGAACACCGACACAATCACACTTGATGGCGAAACTCTGGAAGATGTAGAAACATTCAAATACCTGAGAAGCATCGTTGATAAACAAGGAGGATCGGATGCAGATGTAAAGGCGAGGATTGGCAAAGCAAGGGCAGAATTTCTACAGTTGAAGAACATATGAAACTAAAAACAACTGTCAACCAATATCAAAGTCACAATCTTCAATCTGAACGTCAACACAGTTCTACTGTATGGAGGTGAAATGTACAGAACTAATAAATCCATCGTCAAGAAAGTATAAATATTTATAAATAGTTGTCAACGCAAAATACTCAACATTCACTGGCCGGATACCATCAGAAACAGCCTTCTGTGGGAGAGGATAAACCAGCTTCCAGCTGAAGAGGAAATTAAGAAAAAACGTTGAAAGTGGATCGGACATACATTAAGGAAACCACCAAACTGCATCACGAGGCGATCCTTAGTTTGGAATCCGGAAGGGCAGCGGAAAAGCGGAAGTCCAAAGAACACATTACGCCAGGAAATAGAAGCAGATATGAAACGGATGAATGTTAACTGGAAAGAACTAGAAAGGATTGCCTAGGACAGGGTTGGATGGAGAATACTGGTGTGCGGCCTATGCTCCTCCACGAGGGATATCAGGCGTAAGTAAGTTAGTAAGCCGAAAAGTTAAAAAGGGAATACCACACTGATTAGTATATTTGCCTCATTATTTATCTTTTCGTGAAGTAGATTTTAGTCATATCTAAAGTAAGACAATATCGTAAGTTTATAAAGATATAAAAGTGGACTATAGATGCCTACCTTGTAATTTGAAGATTAAGAGTTCTCCCCAAGGCTTATCGATCCTAGTTTTAATTCTCAGTAAGGTTTTGTATAATTACTAGTAAGGCATCACTTACTAGAACAAAAGAGCTGTGTCGTGTTTCCTTATTTCTAATCGTTATCTAACAAAAGTCAGTCTATTATTTGAAACTACGCTATTTTAAGTTAAAAACAGTGTTTAAAAAAATGTATAATATAGATTGTTAACAAAGCAATCTTGTCTGACCGTAGATCAATCATAATATTGTAATGTTTACTTAGTAATTATAAAGTTTTAACTTATCGGTGAAGTAATTAAACATTTATTCATTCGTACACTGAATGATTACCGACGTATGAAGTTAATACATTAAAGACGCACATATTTCTTCCCTCCCCCCCCCAAAAAAAAAAACAAACTGATCAACTGACAATCTTAGTATCAACAACAGGAAGGTTCTGTTGTTTACAAACAAAATTAAAAACTACTACGATGGGGAATTCTGGTGTGCAGGATTCAAAACCTTAGTAAATATTTAGTACAACTTCTGAAGAGAAAGATAATAAGCTTCGAAACTCGATGTGAGGATATCAGGTACATTGATTTGATAAGTCCTAAACAAAAACAGACACATGTCTTACCTTCCACTGTTAATCACTTTCCTACTTTACTTAAAATTTTATGACTAATTGGCAGTAATGAAGTTAATACGTTGAAAACGCACATATTCTCCCCCCCCCAAATAAACTGATCAACTTTCGACGTTAGTATCAACAACCGGAAGAGTTTACTGTTTACAAACAAAATGAATAATTACTACGATAGAGAATACTGGTGGGCGGTCTACGCTCCTCCACGAGGACTATCAGGCGTAACTAAGTAAGTAAATAATGATCAAATTACACAATCTATATCAAAAACAGAAAGGTAAAAACAAATAACTACAAGATTTCAAACAAATATCGTTCGATGACATAATCGTTTACAAAAACTTACAATGTTCACCAGGATTACTGGTATATTGTAAACCAGTAATATTTTTTTCAATGGTTTTAGTTAATAATTTATGATCTAAATTATTATGATCATTATCAACATTAATTTTAGATAATTCAATTGGATGTATAATATGATAACGTATTCTATAAGTTAAAAGAGGATTCTTATTTCCATGTTCATGTTTTTTGTTATTATCAGTAGTGTGATCTTTCTTTTCAAAATATTGTTGATAATCCATCGGCGGTAGCCATGATGCTTTAATACATGGACGTAATTGATCACATGCAATTTCAAGGATTAACTCTCTTGGTGGTCCAATAATCGACGATTTCTCATGATCAATACTGTTTATTGAAGATATATTATGAGTATTAACAATATATGAAGGAATGATATATAGTGTTATAAGTATCTGTAATGTTACTCTCATAATACTCTTCTCTATTATAGATAATGTATTCTATTTAAACATTCATCACTTGTTAATGTTGAATGATCATTGTCTAACTATCCATGGAATCCGTTACACTATATGGAATGATCATTATTCCAGTCAACCTTACAGTATTTTCATGATAACTAAATATATTATGGGAAGCACATTATATGTAAAAGAATAAAAAGAAATCCTCTCTACTTTTTGTTTACATTTGCCAACATATATGTATATGAGAGATACAAATCTTGTCACCTGAATAAACCATCAAGGGGACACAAATACACACACACACACTTAAACAAATTGTGCGTCCAAAAATGTGACAGAACATAATTATATATGTATATATATGGAATGTATATAACGAAGATAATTTAGACATATCGTTTTAAAGTAAAAGATTCACAAAATTCATCATTATAAACAGACTTACAATTTTGTGCAAATCATTTTTGTGTACTGAACAATTCTGCCTAAATCTGATTGGTTCACCGTTTAGTGAATAAACGATAACAAAGTTTATGCTTAGAAGAAATAAATGATGAATAACCTATAATGTATACAATGTTTGTTTTTGGAACTGAAATAGAAAAAAAACCATTCACCACCATAAATTTTATTTTAATATCAAAGTGCAAAATTTAGTATTTTCCCGGTTTTTATGAAAACCTTTTCCCAAGAAAACTGTTGTTGTAAATTTGATTTTTTTAAGGATACAATTTAAACTACTATTAAGTAGTATAAAGTTTATAAAAAACTTATTGTATAAACTCATATAGTGTTGTTTGTTTGAATCTTCCCATCGATGATTAGGACTGAAATTGATCAGTCTCTAATTGGCATATGTGCATACTGTGCGATATAGCCTAAATTCACAAGCATTGCAAACAAAGATGGACTCAGTGGTCGAGCGGATAACTCGATGGCGTTTGAAGCGAACGGTACTGAGTTCGAGTCCTAGAGTGAACATCAACTCTGAGATGCAGCTGCATCCAGCTGACAAGTCCCAAATAGGACGAAACGTGCGTTCTGGATTCCACTGCTAGCTACTATCCAAACTGATTGTATGACTGAAAAACATTCACAAAACCTGACTAAAAGATTTTGATGATTGAACAGAGATTTTAGGTAACTGTAGTTAAACCAGTAGTTTATATCCACCGTTTTCATTTTATCCATATAATTACTGAAAGAAATCAAACTAATTCATCGGAAACTTAAATATTTATTTCGCTCTCTTCACAATACGAAATAATTAGGTATAATTTCATTATTCCACTTAGCACATTACAGTTTGTTTATCATTGCTTATCCATTATTTAAATGATAAGATAATTGTCTGTTTTGACCAGATTTGAGTTAGTTTTATGTTAAAATTCATTCTATATAATATTATCGTAGTATCTATTCAATTTTACTATTTAACTAATTAATAAATTTGCTTATACTTAAGAGAGAATATGGATGGTGGTTAGTATTGGGAGTCAAGAAGACATGCTTCGACCTTTTTAGGACTCATAAGCTGCTAGCTACTATCCATCTCTGCTTATAATGTTTGTGACTTAATGTAAGTACACATAAGCCAAAAAGAGACTGACCAATTTGCAGTCCTAAACATCAGCGGGAGGAACCAAACAGCCACCTAAAATGAATTAGTAGAGAATAATTAGAAGGGCGTTTTGTGTAAATTTTAGTGATTTTATATAGTTAAAATCATGAGTCAATTAAAGCTAAACCACCATGGAAAACTTAGAAGAACTGGATGGCCGTTTCGTCCTATTGTGAGACTCCTCAGTAGCACTCATCCACGATCCCGACTCGTGAGATTCAGACCCATGACCTATCAGTCTCGTGCGCGAGCGCTTAACTTCAACCAATCCAAAAATTTGCGCAAACGGTCACCAATTGTCTTCAGTGAGTTGATATCTCACAACAGACCTGGTTAAACACCCCTGTTCACTGCTTCTCACTGAAACTCCAGAAAATATTTCTTGAAGTCAGTCTCTAGTGAGCAAATTATTACTATCAGTAGGGATTTGTGAACATTTCATTAATTTATAGTTGAAATCATGAGTCAATTGAAGTTAGACTACCAAGGGAAACCTGGAAGCATTGAACGGCCGTTTCGACCCATTGTGGGACTCCTTAGCAGTGCGAATCGACGATCCCGCCTCGTAAGATTCGAATAAATAAATAGTCTATACAAAAAGTTTTTAAATGATTGTTAGTTTAAGGTTATCGCAGTGAATGGGAACACTAATAGGAACAAATGAATGAATTTAAACACACAATTACAGAATCTCTTAGGAAAAACTGAGAAACATATGGTAAATTGTTTATTCGCAAAATGTCAATCAATTGTCTCAAACTTGACCAATTATCCTTTGTTCTCTTTCTCTTTTCTTCGATCATCTCAACCTTCTACTACTAGGTATTTCACTTTCTATTAATGATACATACTACTTATATCTGTCAATATCAGTAGCATACACCACGGTACTATTGAATTTTTGGTCTATAACTAGAATTGTGTTTATTTCATCTTATGACTTAATTAAATAATTTGAAATTCTATTTGAGAAAAGTAATTAAATTTCTAACACATTTAATTCACTCCAAAGCTGTTAAGAAATAAGAATCTGTCACTAACTACTAATTCACTAGTTATTAATATCATGATTCTTCGTACAGAATACCCCCTGAATCAAATAAAATATCATACAAGTAAGATTGACATATCTCGAACCTGAATTGTAGATTTTAACAGTATTTAGTTATCAGTGAAAGTTGAGGTTCTTTTTAAAGAACACTTTATTATACACAACATTTAAATAAAACAGGATAAATGTTTGGTATAGATTTACGTGTTTTTTTTTGGTGTTTGAAAGTTTTCATTTCGGTTATTTCCTAAAAATGCGACGTCACCAGTGATCAGCTTCTATGTTGAATTTCCTGGAGTTCTAGTGAGAAGCCGTGACCAGTTGAGTACAACCTGTGTCGAGTGGGGCCAGTTATCTTCATCAGACAATGGATGAAGAATTGCACAAGATCATGGGTCGATTGAAGTTAGACATCAACACCGTTAGATTCTGATTAAGTGGTGTATATGCTAAGCGTTCATGAGTGAAACTGATGGTCCTGAGTTCGAGTCTCGTGTGCGGGATCACGAATGCATACTGAAGAGAAGTCCTACAGTAGAACGAAATAGCCTTCCCGTCCTTCCAGGTTTTTCATGGTGGTCTAGTTTAGATTAATTCATAAATTCAACTATTAAGAATTACTACAATCTCCACAAATTCCCATCAGATCTGATTGTCTGGTCAAATATTGAACTTATTTAGATTTTAACCAAATTATTTTCAATATTATTGTTATATTCTAATTTAATACAATGGAGTAGTTAAACAAAAGATGATCATACACTGTCTTTAATAAGGTTTATAAAAGTAGCGAATAACTTCAATTGTCGTCTGATATTTTAATTAGACATCAACTCTACTCATCAGTAATTGATGTTAAATTTCTATTCTAGATCTATCATCAATGATTTTGTGTTTCATAATATGTGAATAAGGGCTTATAATGAGAACTATGACCTGTGCTTTGTTCTATTTTCAAATTATCATCTTCATATGTTAACTATATCCGAGTTGATATTCACAATGAAATTCAAACCACGTACTTTTCACAACAAACAGTAACTTGTTATCCTCAGTATTAATTAATTCAGATATTCACCCAGTTGTTCAACGAATATCATGTTGACTTAATTAATAAAAAAGGGTCTCATTTTCAATACTGAGTCAATCCACACGGAAAGCATATATCTCAACAAACGCGGATCAATATCCATTTCTGTATATCAACAATAGAACAATTCAATTCCAATAATAATAATAATAATAATAATGATAGATATATACCGTTTTCGCTTTTCTTACGAATTTCACACTCAGTTTGCATCAGTATAAAATATACTTAAAACTACATTGTATTTTACCACAGTTACTAAGGTCGATGACAGAAAAGTCTTTGACAAAAAACCAAAGACATACGTTACGTCCTATTTCGTACTCGTCAGCTGGATGTACCTGTATCTCAGAGTTGATATTCAAGTCCCAGAGTAAATATCAACTCTAAGATGCAAGTACATCCAGCTGACGAGTACCAAATAGGACGAAACATGCATCCTGTATTTTGCTGCTAGCCACTGTTCAACTTTGCTTATAATGCTTGTAAATCAAGGCTATATCTAAGCAATATTCACAGTATGGATATATGAGATTGATAATAAGAGACTGACTAATTACAGTCCTAAACATCAATAGGAAGATGCAAATAAGTAATACTAAGTGATACTAGGTAATACTAGCTTCAATTGACTCATGATATCAACTTTGAAAATTTTTTGAAAAGATTAAAGAAAACGATAAAAGATACTTTTCTTTTTACCTAATATAGTTGTAAACGTGAACAACAAGTAAATTTGTGAAGAGACAAAGAGGAAATAAATGATTGTTAGTCATTCAAATGTGATACTATCAATGAAATACAGATAGATACATAATCACAAGTACTAATCAAATTCTAATGCAAATATACCCACTAGTCTGTAACATAACATTGCAATCCACTTGTCCAATGTTACGTATTTAAATACTGCTTGAATAACTCAGTTATAGTCAAAGTAAAAGATACAAGTTTTAATCCTAAGATGTGACTGAACGTTAGTCGAACAAGTTTCCTAGCAATGACTTCTAATTGCTTGAAATCAATTCTAAGTTTATATGTTCTAATCAGGATCAGAAAAAAAACTACAGTATATACCTATGATATATGTATACTATAATTCAATTAAAACTTATTAGTCATTGGTTCAAGTATATTACTCGCTTAGCAGGTTGGGCAAGCCCTTCCTTTGAGTGGGTTATTTTACGGAATCACATGTGATGAAACCTAAAGTTAGAAGAATTTTTTTTGTTTAATTTTGTATTCGTGATCAATTAATCGGTGAGTTATCAATTAATAACCATGATTATCAAAACAATTACCAATATATGAATATGTATCTAGGATGATATATACAATTTCTCTGATACCTAATGTACAATCCATATTGAAACTCTTTGTTCTAAATAAGATCCTTGGAAAGCAATTGTCTTCATAGGTCCAATATAGTTTCATGTATAAATCTCATGTATAAATATTAATTTAAGTGGTTTCAAGGGATTAATTGAAATTGTAGACATCAACTCATTCACGACTGTAGGTAAGCCTTGTTGATATTTGCTAAATATTATGAAACTTAGTTCAATTAAGATTTTCTAACTTTTATCTTTACCTAATTTATATGAAAACATTGTGATGTTGAGTCAATTGAAATAGTTACCGTATTGCAAATCGA